TCTGCCAGCTGCCCCCTCTCTTCCAGTTTGACAACGCATGGCCCCTCAATAAGGTGCGTGCATGCATGATGCATGTGTTTAGCTGGCAGTATGGTGGTCAGTACGCCTCATCTCCTCTCTCGGAGTGCTCTCCATCTGCCAGCTGCCCCCTCTCTTCCAGTTTGACAACGCATGGCCCCTCAATAAGGTGCGTGCATGCATGATGCATGTGTTTAGCTGGCAGTATGGTGGTCAGTACGCCTCATCTCCTCTCTCGGAGTGCTCTCCATCTGCCAGCTGCCCCCTCTCTTCCAGTTTGACAACGCATGGCCCCTCAATAAGGTGCGTGCATGCATGATGCATGTGTTTAGCTGGCAGTATGGTGGTCAGTACGCCTCATCTCCTCTCTCGGAGTGCTCTCCATCTGCCAGCTGCCCCCTCTCTTCCAGTTTGACAACGCATGGCCCCTCAATAAGGTGCGTGCATGCATGATGCATGTGTTTAGCTGGCAGTATGGTGGTCAGTACGCCTCATCTCCTCTCTCGGAGTGCTCTCCATCTGCCAGCTGCCCCCTCTCTTCCAGTTTGACAACGCATGGCCCCTCAATAAGGTGCGTGCATGCATGATGCATGTGTTTAGCTGGCAGTATGGTGGTCAGTACGCCTCATCTCCTCTCTCGGAGTGCTCTCCATCTGCCAGCTGCCCCCTCTCTTCCAGTTTGACAACGCATGGCCCCTCAATAAGGTGCGTGCATGCATGATGCATGTGTTTAGCTGGCAGTATGGTGGTCAGTACGCCTCATCTCCTCTCTCGGAGTGCTCTCCATCTGCCAGCTGCCCCCTCTCTTCCAGTTTGACAACGCATGGCCCCTCAATAAGGTGCGTGCATGCATGATGCATGTGTTTAGCTGGCAGTATGGTGGTCAGTACGCCTCATCTCCTCTCTCGGAGTGCTCTCCATCTGCCAGCTGCCCCCTCTCTTCCAGTTTGACAACGCATGGCCCCTCAATAAGGTGCGTGCATGCATGATGCATGTGTTTAGCTGGCAGTATGGTGGTCAGTACGCCTCATCTCCTCTCTCGGAGTGCTCTCCATCTGCCAGCTGCCCCCTCTCTTCCAGTTTGACAACGCATGGCCCCTCAATAAGGTGCGTGCATGCATGATGCATGTGTTTAGCTGGCAGTATGGTGGTCAGTACGCCTCATCTCCTCTCTCGGAGTGCTCTCCATCTGCCAGCTGCCCCCTCTCTTCCAGTTTGACAACGCATGGCCCCTCAATAAGGTGCGTGCATGCATGATGCATGTGTTTAGCTGGCAGTATGGTGGTCAGTACGCCTCATCTCCTCTCTCGGAGTGCTCTCCATCTGCCAGCTGCCCCCTCTCTTCCAGTTTGACAACGCATGGCCCCTCAATAAGGTGCGTGCATGCATGATGCATGTGTTTAGCTGGCAGTATGGTGGTCAGTACGCCTCATCTCCTCTCTCGGAGTGCTCTCCATCTGCCAGCTGCCCCCTCTCTTCCAGTTTGACAACGCATGGCCCCTCAATAAGGTGCGTGCATGCATGATGCATGTGTTTAGCTGGCAGTATGGTGGTCAGTACGCCTCATCTCCTCTCTCGGAGTGCTCTCCATCTGCCAGCTGCCCCCTCTCTTCCAGTTTGACAACGCATGGCCCCTCAATAAGGTGCGTGCATGCATGATGCATGTGTTTAGCTGGCAGTATGGTGGTCAGTACGCCTCATCTCCTCTCTCGGAGTGCTCTCCATCTGCCAGCTGCCCCCTCTCTTCCAGTTTGACAACGCATGGCCCCTCAATAAGGTGCGTGCATGCATGATGCATGTGTTTAGCTGGCAGTATGGTGGTCAGTACGCCTCATCTCCTCTCTCGGAGTGCTCTCCATCTGCCAGCTGCCCCCTCTCTTCCAGTTTGACAACGCATGGCCCCTCAATAAGGTGCGTGCATGCATGATGCATGTGTTTAGCTGGCAGTATGGTGGTCAGTACGCCTCATCTCCTCTCTCGGAGTGCTCTCCATCTGCCAGCTGCCCCCTCTCTTCCAGTTTGACAACGCATGGCCCCTCAATAAGGTGCGTGCATGCATGATGCATGTGTTTAGCTGGCAGTATGGTGGTCAGTACGCCTCATCTCCTCTCTCGGAGTGCTCTCCATCTGCCAGCTGCCCCCTCTCTTCCAGTTTGACAACGCATGGCCCCTCAATAAGGTGCGTGCATGCATGATGCATGTGTTTAGCTGGCAGTATGGTGGTCAGTACGCCTCATCTCCTCTCTCGGAGTGCTCTCCATCTGCCAGCTGCCCCCTCTCTTCCAGTTTGACAACGCATGGCCCCTCAATAAGGTGCGTGCATGCATGATGCATGTGTTTAGCTGGCAGTATGGTGGTCAGTACGCCTCATCTCCTCTCTCGGAGTGCTCTCCATCTGCCAGCTGCCCCCTCTCTTCCAGTTTGACAACGCATGGCCCCTCAATAAGGTGCGTGCATGCATGATGCATGTGTTTAGCTGGCAGTATGGTGGTCAGTACGCCTCATCTCCTCTCTCGGAGTGCTCTCCATCTGCCAGCTGCCCCCTCTCTTCCAGTTTGACAACGCATGGCCCCTCAATAAGGTGCGTGCATGCATGATGCATGTGTTTAGCTGGCAGTATGGTGGTCAGTACGCCTCATCTCCTCTCTCGGAGTGCTCTCCATCTGCCAGCTGCCCCCTCTCTTCCAGTTTGACAACGCATGGCCCCTCAATAAGGTGCGTGCATGCATGATGCATGTGTTTAGCTGGCAGTATGGTGGTCAGTACGCCTCATCTCCTCTCTCGGAGTGCTCTCCATCTGCCAGCTGCCCCCTCTCTTCCAGTTTGACAACGCATGGCCCCTCAATAAGGTGCGTGCATGCATGATGCATGTGTTTAGCTGGCAGTATGGTGGTCAGTACGCCTCATCTCCTCTCTCGGAGTGCTCTCCATCTGCCAGCTGCCCCCTCTCTTCCAGTTTGACAACGCATGGCCCCTCAATAAGGTGCGTGCATGCATGATGCATGTGTTTAGCTGGCAGTATGGTGGTCAGTACGCCTCATCTCCTCTCTCGGAGTGCTCTCCATCTGCCAGCTGCCCCCTCTCTTCCAGTTTGACAACGCATGGCCCCTCAATAAGGTGCGTGCATGCATGATGCATGTGTTTAGCTGGCAGTATGGTGGTCAGTACGCCTCATCTCCTCTCTCGGAGTGCTCTCCATCTGCCAGCTGCCCCCTCTCTTCCAGTTTGACAACGCATGGCCCCTCAATAAGGTGCGTGCATGCATGATGCATGTGTTTAGCTGGCAGTATGGTGGTCAGTACGCCTCATCTCCTCTCTCGGAGTGCTCTCCATCTGCCAGCTGCCCCCTCTCTTCCAGTTTGACAACGCATGGCCCCTCAATAAGGTGCGTGCATGCATGATGCATGTGTTTAGCTGGCAGTATGGTGGTCAGTACGCCTCATCTCCTCTCTCGGAGTGCTCTCCATCTGCCAGCTGCCCCCTCTCTTCCAGTTTGACAACGCATGGCCCCTCAATAAGGTGCGTGCATGCATGATGCATGTGTTTAGCTGGCAGTATGGTGGTCAGTACGCCTCATCTCCTCTCTCGGAGTGCTCTCCATCTGCCAGCTGCCCCCTCTCTTCCAGTTTGACAACGCATGGCCCCTCAATAAGGTGCGTGCATGCATGATGCATGTGTTTAGCTGGCAGTATGGTGGTCAGTACGCCTCATCTCCTCTCTCGGAGTGCTCTCCATCTGCCAGCTGCCCCCTCTCTTCCAGTTTGACAACGCATGGCCCCTCAATAAGGTGCGTGCATGCATGATGCATGTGTTTAGCTGGCAGTATGGTGGTCAGTACGCCTCATCTCCTCTCTCGGAGTGCTCTCCATCTGCCAGCTGCCCCCTCTCTTCCAGTTTGACAACGCATGGCCCCTCAATAAGGTGCGTGCATGCATGATGCATGTGTTTAGCTGGCAGTATGGTGGTCAGTACGCCTCATCTCCTCTCTCGGAGTGCTCTCCATCTGCCAGCTGCCCCCTCTCTTCCAGTTTGACAACGCATGGCCCCTCAATAAGGTGCGTGCATGCATGATGCATGTGTTTAGCTGGCAGTATGGTGGTCAGTACGCCTCATCTCCTCTCTCGGAGTGCTCTCCATCTGCCAGCTGCCCCCTCTCTTCCAGTTTGACAACGCATGGCCCCTCAATAAGGTGCGTGCATGCATGATGCATGTGTTTAGCTGGCAGTATGGTGGTCAGTACGCCTCATCTCCTCTCTCGGAGTGCTCTCCATCTGCCAGCTGCCCCCTCTCTTCCAGTTTGACAACGCATGGCCCCTCAATAAGGTGCGTGCATGCATGATGCATGTGTTTAGCTGGCAGTATGGTGGTCAGTACGCCTCATCTCCTCTCTCGGAGTGCTCTCCATCTGCCAGCTGCCCCCTCTCTTCCAGTTTGACAACGCATGGCCCCTCAATAAGGTGCGTGCATGCATGATGCATGTGTTTAGCTGGCAGTATGGTGGTCAGTACGCCTCATCTCCTCTCTCGGAGTGCTCTCCATCTGCCAGCTGCCCCCTCTCTTCCAGTTTGACAACGCATGGCCCCTCAATAAGGTGCGTGCATGCATGATGCATGTGTTTAGCTGGCAGTATGGTGGTCAGTACGCCTCATCTCCTCTCTCGGAGTGCTCTCCATCTGCCAGCTGCCCCCCCTCTTCCAGTTTGACAACGCATGGCCCCTCAATAAGGTGTGTGTATGCCTGGATTGGGTACTCGGGAAGGGATAGAGCCCGATAGGTTTTTTTTGCACCACTCGTTCACCTGCCCCACATTCTTCTCTCCCCATTCGTATTGTTTTTTTTTTTTTTTTTTTTTTTTTTTTTTTTTTTTTCATTTTTTTCATTTTTCCATTTGCACACTCTAATGCCTATGCTCGCCGTTCCCCCCTTCTACCTCCACTCTCCCCACTCTTCCCCACTGTGCCTCGTTCTCCCCCCCTTCACAGATTCCCTTGCGCTCAACCCCCCACTCGGTCACTCTCTCCCCGGACGCAGCTCATCTTTTCCTCGTCACTTCAACCCCCGTAGGCTTAAAATCCCCAGCCCCGTACACGTACGATAGTTGCAACCGTTTTCTTTCTACGTTCAAATGCTCCACTCTCCCCGCCTATCCCCCTCCTTCTCCCTTCCCACCTCTCACTCGCCTTCGCCTGTCAAGTATTTTTGCCCGTCCCCTAATTTCTCGTTCCCTCCCTCATTCTTTTTCCCCATCTTCTCCCATTCTTCTCCTCACTTACACCCACTCTTCCTTTCACTTTTCCTCTCACTCTCCCCCTTTCAGGTGTCTCGGCCAGTGTCTCAGTTCCTGGTTCCTTCCCTAGAAGACCCAAAAGATCCCTCAACCGCAGCACTAGGCTCGGCCGGACCTGGAGGTCCGGGAGCTCCAGGATCCTCCGGCACAGACGCCGAAGCAGTAGCTATGGTTGAGGACTTCCAGCTTCGGGTGTTAACCTGCCCGAGCCTGGAGGCCCCGAGCCGCGCCCTGGAGGTTCGGCAGAGCTTTGAGTTCCAGCCGTTTGAAGCGGTGACAATGGTAAAGTCAGTGGTGCTGAGGAATCGCAGCAGTGGGCAGCTACAGACGCTCCTGGCAGTGTGTACGACGTTTATCACTGGGGAGGACGCACCTGGGAAAGGCAGGATCTTGCTCTTTGAGTACAACCCACTGGCAACAGCTGATGGGGGTGGTGGTGCTGATGGTGCTGGTGCTGGTGCAGCCGCAACGGCAGATGCAGAGGGTAAAGCGGCAGGTGGAAGCATTGGAATTCCCTTGGTGAGCCTGCCTTTCCGCTTCTTCCCTTGATTGTCCGTCTGTCGCCTTTCATTCCTTCTCCAGCGTGTGTTTTCCTAGAGGGGCAGCATGGCATGGCAGAATGTTCGGACAGAGCTGAGACACCCTCCTCTTTTCTCTCTGAAAGAATCTCAAGTGTTGTCTTGATTAGAAAGAGTGTGGGTACATATAGGAGATGAGAAGTTTGGGAACTAAGTGGGGTACCCTCAGCATTTATTGGTGGACCAATCAGATTGGGTCGACCAACAATTGCTGGGGTAACCAACAATCGTTGGAGGGGACCATTATTGGGCCCCCCCCGTCAATTGCGGTCGAGTTGGGTTTGGGGGCGCCCAACCAAAATTGGTTGGGTCGCCTTGACCCAAAGTGTACACCCACTTTAGGGTGTAACACATGCACAAATATAAACATACATTATGCTATATTCTAACACAACCCCGTAGCATAAGAGGTTTATAAGTGTGCACAACCCCGGAATCATGAAGCCGGGGAGAGGCCAAGAAGGCGAAGGAAGGCCCGGTGGGCTAGCTTCGGAAGAGCTTTGGTGAAGATGTCAGCAAGGTTGGCTTCGGCGGCAATTTTTCGGACGGCAAGATGGCCTTGCTGGACAAGATCGCGAATGTAGAAGTAGCGTAGTTCGATGTGTTTGGAGCGCCCGTGGAAGACCGGATTCTTGGTGAGGTGGATCGTGCTGGCGTTGTCGCACCAGAGCGTGGGGCATGGCTGGGGGGCCCCAAGCTCGGCTAGTAAGAAGGAAAGTCAGCGTCCTTCCTGCGCAGCCATGGTACCAGCATAGAGTTCGGCTTCACAAGATGAGAGGGCGATGGCGGAGGAGCGGGTGGAGCGCCAGCTGACCAAGCCGCTACCGAGCGTGAAGCCATATCCTTGGGAAGAGCGGCGATCCGGCTGAGAGTCTGCCCAAGACGAGTCACTGAAGCCGGTGAGGAGCGGGGGAGAGGCACCACCAAGGGTGAGAACATGGTCCTGAGTGCCACGGAGGTAGCGTAGGACTCGTTTGGCGGCTCTCCAATGCACGGAGGTGTGACGACCGGTACCGACGAAACGCGCCAGGACGCTGATGGGGTAGGCGAGGTCGGGACGGGTCCCCATCATGGCATACATGATGGAGCCAACCAGTTCCGCATAGGGCTGAGTGGAGGCGGAGGGGGAGGTGGGTGGAGCAAGCTGATGGCCGAATGGAAGGGGAGTGGCCACTGGGTTGGCGAGAGCCATGTCGAACCGCTCCAACACCTGCTGAAGATAGTGAGATTGAGATAAGGTGATGGTGCGGGCAGCTCGATCGCGTGTGATCTCCATGCCCAAGTAGTGGCGTAATTCGCCAAGGTCCTTGCACTGGAGACGAGCTTGTAGTTCTTCCTTGACGTCGGTCATGTCGGCGGAGGTGTCGGCGAGGAGCACCATGTCGTCAACATAGACTAGGACGAAGAAGCGGCTGGGACGGGTCCGAATGAAGAGACTGGCGTCAGAGTGAGATGGTTGAAATCCGAGAGCACAGAGTGTAGATGCCAGCTTAGCATGCCATTCCCGAGGAGCCTGCTTCAGGCCGTAGACTGGACGGCGTAGTTCCCAGACAGTGTCTGGAGGGAAGGCTTCATGGAAGCCATCTGGGCGGTCGAGGAAGATTTGTTCGTGGAGGTTCCCCTGAAGAAAAGCGTTAGAGACATCCATTGATGAGATCTCCATGCCGTTGCGGGAGCCAAAGTCGAGAAGCGTGCGAAGGGTCCCGAATTTTGCGGTAGGTGAGAAGGTTTCCCAAAAGTCCTTGGCATAGGTCTGTGTGAAGCCCTTGGCGCAGTAACGGGCTTTGTAGACGGGCTCCTCCCCCGGAAGCTGCTTCACCCGGAAGACCCACTTGCCAGCGACAATGTTGGCATCTGGAGGCGGCTTGACATCGACGAAGGAATCATTGCGAATGTAGGCGTCGCACTCCTTGCGAATGGCCTCCAGCCATTTGTCAGCGTCAGGGCACGTGATTGCCTCCTGGAATGTGGTAGGCGTGAAGATGAGAGGTGAGGAGGGAGTGCCAAGTACAACCGCGCCCAAAAGGGCAAGGTACACAGGGTTAAGGGAAGGAACGTGAGTGTGAATGGCACAAAACTCCTCATGGGAGTCTTCATGAATGAGAGGTGGTTGACCAAGAATGGGGTCAAGGGAGCGAGTGTGCATGCGTGGGAGGAGGAAGGGAGAGCGTGAGGTGAGAGAAGTGCGAGGACGTGGGGAGGATGCAGGAGGTGCGGCGGGCGAGGATGGAGGAGGAGAAGCTGGAGGGAGGTGGGTGGGAGGGGAGGGATGAGGGGGAGAGGGAGGAGGGGGAGCGGTGGAAAGGGCAGGTGAGGCAGCAGGATCATAGATATCAGCCGAGGAAGGTGGAGGTGAGAGTGGAGTAGTTGGGAGGAGTGGAGCAGATGGGAGGAGAGGAGAAAGAAGGGCATCCGCCCAGGTGAGTGGGCGGGAGGGTGGGGGGAGAGGGACGGAGGGAGGAGGAGAGGAGTAGTAGGGGATGGTTTCATCGAAGACGACATCGCGGCTGCGAATGAGGCGTCCGGAGGGAGGATGAAGGAAGAGGTACCCAGGAGAGCCACGATTGTGGCCGAGGTAGACGCACTCCAATGCTTTGGAGGCAAGTTTTCCTGCTGTGCGGGAACGGTCTGCGGGAGGAATGAGAACAAAGGATTTGCAGCCCCAGACGCGAAGGACGGAGGCATCAGGTTTGGAGTTGCACCAAAGCTCAGTGGGAGTGAGGTTGGGATGGTGGGGGTGAGGGTAGAGGTTGGTGAGAAGGGCGGCATGAGTGAGAGCATAGCCCCAAAGGGAGGGAGGGGTAGATGCATGGGTGAGGAGACAGCGGGCAGTTTTGGTGATCTCACGGATGCGACTTTCAGCTACACCGTTTTGTTGCGGAGAATGAGGGAGAGTGGACGTCTGTTGAGTGCCATGTGCTTTGCAGTAGGAGGCAATGGTATGGTTGAGAAACTCCCCGCCACCGTCAGAGTGAAGGCGACGGATGGGTCGGCCGAAGTGCACGCGCGCTTGTTCGGCCCAGGCGATGATGACAGCGGCTGCTTCAGCTTTCGTATGGAGTAGAAACACAGAGGAGTAGCGGCTATGGTCGTCTACGAGGACGAGCATAAAGCGGTGGCCCTGGCGGGAAGGGGAGGGGGAGGGACCCCAGAGGTCCATGTGGACGAGATCTAGGGGAGCAGTAGCAAATGAGGGATGGCTGTGATGGGGTTTTTGTTTGAGTTTGCCATGAATGCAAGTGGGACAAGGAGGAGCTGGTGAGGTGGGTAGGGGAGGAAGGGCAGGGGGGAGCCCATGAAGGAGGCGAGAGGATATTGCGGCACGGAGGGTGGTGAAGTTGGGGTGACCAAGACGGTGATGGAGGAGAATGGCGGGGTGAGAGAGGGAGAGGTCGGGAGAGGTAGAGGGAGTGGGAGATGATGAAGGGGGAGGAGCAATGGTGGGAGAAGGGTAGGTGGAGCGACGGGTGGTGAGATGACATGATGCCGGAAAAGGGAGACGTAGTGTGTAAAGGTGAGTGCGGGGGCAGATTGGGAGGCGATAGACAAGGCGGCCAGTGGAGGTATGAATGAGATCGCAATAGGAAAAGTGGGCAGGAAAAATGGCGGTAATGCCGGCTTTTTGGAGATCATGAAGAGAAATAAGGTTGTGACGAAGAGTGGGAATGTGGAGGCCAGTGATAGTGCCGGAGGGAAAGAGGGGACACGGAAGAGTAGAGGAGTGTGTGCATGGGATCGAGAAGCTAGAATCAGCGCCATGAACAGTGGAGGGGAGAGATAGTGTTTTGAGAATGCCAGCGTCCTTCAGGGCACTGACGGTGGCCCCGCTATCGAGGACAAAGTCCAAGGTGAGCGGGGAAGGAGACGCAGAATACTGGAAGTCACTGTTATTAAGAACAGAGGGATACATGGAGGTGGTGCTAGGCAAGGGAGAAGCTAGCTGACCAAGAAAGCTAGAGTATGACTCAGCTGGGGAGGTATGGGCGGCGGTGGCGGCAGAACCGAAGCCAAGAGGTTGCTGCTGCCAGGCGGCAGTTGCTGCTGCTGCTGCTGCTGCTGCTGCCGCTGCCGCTGCTGTGGCGGCTGCGCCTCCCCCACCTCCCCAGGGCGGCTGCTGTGGCTGCTGGTGCGGCTGCGGCTGTGGGGGCAGCTGCGGGGGCTGCTGCAACTGCTGTGACTGAAGATGCTGCAAAAACTGCTGGAGTTGCAGTTGAGGAGAGGGAGTGGTGAGGTTAAGGTGGGAGGGTTGATAGAGAGGGAGATGTTGAACATCATGGACAGTGGGACAACTTGCAAGAGCGGACCAGCGGGGGGGGGTACCATGGTTACCACGATCAAACCAGGCATCGTCCAAGACGCCGAAGCAGGTGGTTATGGGGTGGTTGGTTTGACCGCAGGGTTCCCCAGCGCGAGGGCCGTGACGGCGAACGTAGGGGCAGGGGGGGAGTTGACCAGGTCCGCTACCACCACGTCCACGTCCTCCTCCAGGGCCGCCCGTGCCAGAAGGAGTGCGTCCACCAAAGGTGCCACCACGTCCACCACCACGGCCGCCACCACGCCCACCTCCACGTCCGCCACCGCGACCACCACCACGCCCACCACCGCGTGTCTGGGTGGCGTTGAGTTCTGGCGCGGGTGCTTGAGCCGTGTTGAGAGAAGGCGGGTTGGTACGAAGGAGGCGGGTTTCGGTGTCAATGATCCATTGAACGACAGCAGCAACATCCGCAAACGGCTGATTTTCGCGGATGGCAATGACGTGCATGTCGTAGGACGGGTTGAGACCGCGGAGAAGGCGATCTATCTGGATGAACTGGGGGAGTTCGGACTGGCGAGCCTTAAGTCGCTTGGCGAGAGAGGTCATGCGGCCGGTGTAGGCGACGGCACCAGTGCAGGTTGCGAGCGTTGTCTCCCAGTATTCGTCAAGGAGCAGCCCCACGGAGTTGACGTCATGGCGCTCAAACATGGCGTGAAGGGAGGCCCAAAGGGCAGGTGCGTGAAGCTCTTGTTCCTGAAAGTCTCGCATTAGAGCGGGGGGGAGACCACCAAGGATAATATTAGAGGCAGAAAGGTCAGATTCCTTCCAAGCAGCAGCTTTAGCGGTATATTCAGCGAGCGCGAGAGTGTAGCGGTCAGCCATGGTGCGGTGATTTATTATGGCAGCTTGGCGCATGTCGTATTGCTCGCGAGCCGCACGATGGTCCGCTCGGAGCGTGAGGAACCGACGCCGCTCGAGATCGTAGGCTGCTTCATCAGCGGCTTGGCGAACAGGATCCGTGGAGGCAGCGGGCAGATCTGGTTCGTCAGGTTCAGGTCCAGGGTCAGGCGGGAGAGTGGGGGCCGATCCAGGGGACATAGGGGGCGTTGGCGGGAGAGCGGCAGCATGGCGGAGGACAAGGTCGAGGAGGGTGGAGGAGGTGTTGGGGATGTGGATGACGCCGAGGAGGCGGCGCACGCTCCCTGTGTAGGAGTACCAGTTGATAGCGCTCTGATCGGGAGCGAGCTCGAGCCGATCAATGGAGAGAGTGTTGAAATTCTGAGGAAGAGAAGGAGCAGCCATAGCAGTAAGTTAGTGCGATGTGAGGGGAGAAAAAATGTTAGTAGCGAGCGAAAGCGAGGCAGGTTAGAAGCTGAGGGAGAGGAGGAGGGGGGTTAGTAGCAGCACGTGGGAGAGGATTGGGAGCAGTAGCGTGGCAGGAGAGGCGGAGAGCAGAGATAGTATGAGAGAGGCAGCGGGAGAGGAAACGGTGGGCGGAAGCAATGGGGGGGGGGGGGGAAGGGTCGAGGGAGCGGCGGGGAGGAAGAGATGAGGCAGTAGCTAAGTGCCTGGCGGCGAGGGAGAGTAGGAGCAGCCGCGGCGAAGTGCCTTGCAGCGAGGAGAGGCAGTGGCGGCGGCAAATTGCCCGCAGCGAGTGAGTAGAGGCGGCGGAGGCGAAATGCCCCGCGGCGAGTGGGAGCAGTGGCGGCGGCGGCGAAATGCCCCGCGGCGAGTGGGAGCAGTGGCGGCGGCGGCGAAATGCCCCGCGGCGAGTGGAGTAGTGGGGGCGGAGGCGAAATGCCCCGCGGCGAGTGGGAGCAGTGGCGGCGGAGGCGAAATGCCCCGTGGCGAGTGGGAGCAGTGGCGGCGGAGGCGAAATGCCCCGCGGCGAGTGGGAGCAGTGGCGGCGGCGGCGAAATGCCCCGCGGCGAGTGGAGTAGTGGCGGCGGAGGCGAAATGCCTCGCGGCGAGTGGGAGCAGTGGCGGTGGCGGCGAAATGCTCCGCGGCGAGTGGAGTAGTGGCGGCGGAGGCGAAATGCCCCGCGGCGAGTGGGAGCAGTGGCGGCGGCGGCGAAATGCCCCGCGGCGAGTGGAGTAGTGGCGGCGGAGGCGAAATGCCCCGCGGCGAGTGGGAGCAGTGGCGGCGGCGGCGAAATGCCCCGCGGCGAGTGGGAGCAGTGGCGGCGGCGGCGAAATGCCCCGCGGCGAGTGGGAACAGTGGCGGCGGCGGCGAAATGCCCCGCGTCGAGATGAGCAGCGGCGGCGGCGGCGAAATGCCCCGCAAGGAAGAAAAGCGGTGCGAGAGTAGTGGCGACGGCGGATAGGTCGCGGCGATTGAGACGCCGGCAGCTGAGAACGTAAATGCGGCGGTAGGAGCCGAGGCGAGAAATTCGCCTTACGAGAGATAGAGTAGGAGCTGGAGGGAGGTGGTGACTGGTTGTACTTTACGGAAGATTGAACTTCAACCTAGTCAAACCCACGCAACAAGTTGCATGGGCAGGACGGAAGGGTCCTGACGAGCGGGGAGGAAAAAAAAACTTGAGAGAAAGAGGTCGAGAGGGGCGTTTGCCAATTGGCTCTGAATACCATGAAAGAATCTCAAGTGTTGTCTTGATTAGAAAGAGTGTGGGTACATATAGGAGATGAGAAGTTTGGGAACTAAGTGGGGTACCCTCAGCATTTATTGGTGGACCAATCAGATTGGGTCGACCAACAATTGCTGGGGTAACCAACAATCGTTGGAGGGGACCATTATTGGGCCCCCCCCGTCAATTGCGGTCGAGTTGGGTTTGGGGGCGCCCAACCAAAATTGGTTGGGTCGCCTTGACCCAAAGTGTACACCCACTTTAGGGTGTAACACATGCACAAATATAAACATACATTATGCTATATTCTAACACTCTCCCACACCGAAATTAATCCCACCAGCTGAGGGAGCTCTATTCAAAGGAGCCCATAGCGGGTAGCAGTCAAAGAGGCAGCGTGGCGGCACTCACAGCGCTGCAGGGCAATCTGCTGCTGGCAGTGGGGCGGCAGCTGGTGCTGTATGCATGGAACGGAGTGGAATTAGAAGGAATCGCCTTCCTTGATGCTCCTCTCTACGTGGTCTCCATGGCAACGGTGAGTGGTAGGGCTTGGTTAAGAGCTGCAGTTCCGTTTAGGGCCTCCCTAATCTGCTGCAGGCGGTGGGGCGGCAGCTGGTGCTGTACTGTACATGTGGAATGCGATAGAAAGCTTTGTGATTCTAGGGGATGCGTTACAGAGCGCATACTTTCTGCGCTGGAGAGAGTAGGGAGCTCAGCTCATCACCCTTTCCAATTTATATGTTCTGCGTTTCTCTTCTCACGTTAACCCACCACCCACCCTCCCTACTTTTGAGACGTCTCAAAACTTTTGAGACGTCTCAAATTTAGATGTTCTGCGTTCCTCTTCTCACATTAACCCACCACCCACCCTCCCTACTTTCCTCCCAACTTCCCCTCTCCCTCCCTTGTTGTTATTCAGGTGAAGAGCTTCGTTATAGTAGGGGATGTGCTAAAGAGCGTCTACTTCCTGCACTGGAGAGAAGAGGGAGCTCAGCTCACACTCCTCGCACGCGACTTCTCCTCTCTTCCGATCACAGCCGTCGATTTCCTCATCGACGGCTCAGCTCTCGGCCTGCTAGCCACCGACACAGCCAAGAACCTCCAAGTCTTTGCCTACTCCAAGTCGATCGAGACACACATGGGTCAGAAGCTGCTGCTTAAGGCATCTTTCCACACAGGAGAGGTGCTCTCGAAGGTTCTCCGGTTGCCGCTGCCTCCTCCTCTTGCCACCACAGCAGCAGGAGGGGGAGGGGGGCAGCAGAGGAACCCAGCAGCTGCTGCTTCGGGCCGAACCAACAGGTTCGGCGTGCTGGCGGGGACGCTCGGCGGGGCGATTGCGGTGGTGACGCCGGTGCTGGAGCTGGTGTTTCGGAGGCTGGATACGGTGCAGCGTTACATGGTAACCGCAGTGGAGCAGGCTGCAGGGTTACACCCGCTGGCGTTCCGGGCTGTGCAAGGGCTGGGGAAGGGGCAGCAGCACTCGGGTGTGGAGCGAATGATTGACTCGCAGCTTCTTGCTCAGTAAGTTATTGCGAGGTTTCGGTAAGTTGTCATTTGCAATAGCTTGCATTGGACATTCGGAACGACAGGCGGTCGTGCTGCTGTCACTGGCGTTCCGGGCGGTGCAGGGGCTGGGCAACTTTTGAGACGTCTCAAAAGGCGGTGCAAGGGGCAGCAGCACTCGGGTGTGGAGCGAATGATCGGCTCTCAGCTTCTTGCTCAGTGAGTTGACCTTTCCAAGTCTAGTTCACGCGTCTTAGCAAGCTGACAGCGTTCACCTGTGAGCCCTACCCCTGTCACACGCTCCTGCTACTTCCCATGCATCCCACAAGTGAGCACACCTCGTCCACCCTTGCACCCATGGACCCATGTGTGCATGACCCAACCACGTATGTACTCATGGAGGGCAGCCATCAGCACTTCCAATGTGACATGCACCCATCCACCCATGCACCCATCCACCCTTAACCTGTGTACACCATTTATCGCATCGCATGTATCCCTTGCAATTACGCATGCACCCACCAGGTACGCACTAATGGACGACAGTCAGCAGCAGCAGCTAGCAGAGGACATCGGTTCAACTCGCCCCATGGTGTTGCAGAACCTCCGGGACCTCGCACACAACGCCATGCTCTTCTAGTCATGCTCTTTTGACCATGCTCTTCTAGCCAGGCCCTTGTACCCATGGTTTCCTAGCCCGACCCTTTTAGCCATGCCCTTGCGGACATACCATATCAGGCAGGCTCGTCTAAAAATGGCAGGGTACCGTAAATGGGTGCACAACACACACACTCACAACTCCACGCACGATTTTCAGTGGTTTTGGACACCAACTGGCATTCGTAGATGCTGCTGCTGCACTACCCATGCTTGGATCGAAACATAGTTTTGAGCGCTGCTCCAAGGCGGCACCTGTTCAACATTCCCTGCTTAGGTCAAGGTCATTTTCTCTAAGTGAGGTGTTGCCAAACAGAGGTGTTGGCTAACAGTACGGGCATTTTCTCTATGAAGTGAATTTGAATTCAGGCTGCTTTCAGAAATGAATTTGAGAGATGTTGTAATGAAAAATGAGTTGCAGGAATATTGAACTGCATGAAGCGTATCGTGGCACAACCAGAGTAAAGTGGCAAATTTGATGACACAAGATTCTAAACCCTATGGACTTGAAAGGGCAGCACATCAGCAGCATGTTCCAAGCTCCCCAACTGCTCATCTCACCAACAGACTTCATACTCTGTAACACTAGTTCCCTCTATACCAACCAACCCTTCTCTTCCACACAAAACCTTCACTGCGACGCGTCAAAATTCGGGATTTCAGGCACACGTTTAACGGCAGCAGTTGATCAGAACAGCCACTCGATTTAATACCCTCCCGCCCGACCAAGGTTGACAAACCTACTGGCGTCACCACCACCACCACCACCACCACCACCCCTTCCTCCCCTTCCTCCTCCATCCCCTCCTCTATAACCCCCCCTTCCTCCACGCCCTCCCCTTCCTCCCCCATCGCCCCCTCTATACCCCCCTCTCCCGCCCCCACCACCACCACCCCCACCGCCTCCCCATCCTCCTCTCCCTCCCCCTCGGCCACCATACCCGCCTCGTCCTCCCCCTCTCCCGTACCTCTCCCCGCCCCCACCACCGTAATCATCCCTGCGCCCACCCCCATAGTCCCCACCGCCGTCCTTGCCCCGCCTGCCCCCGCCTCTCTCTCCCCCTGCGCCTTCGATGGTCATGCCGCCTGTCTTCTCTGAGAAGGCCCGCTCGTTGCCCTCCACGAGAACCGAGAGCTTATCGGCGTACTGCAATGAGTGGAAAGCAGCAGAAAGAAACAGAGACAGGACGAGAAAGGGATTGAGATGCCTCAGATTAGTATTGAGTCGACTCAAAACTATGCCTCAGAATAGTATCATCGTGCTGCCAGTCTTCTTTGAAAAGGCCCCGAAAACTGAGAGTTTATCGGCGTGCTGTAGCGAGTGGCAATAAGGGAGAAAGAAAGTGGGGACATTAATAGCAAAAGGGGAAAGGCAAGAGATGAAAGGGCGAAACCAAAAGTAATAGCAACGCAAGGACGTGGTCATTCGTGTAGAAAGAAGTCTTTTGAGACGTCTCAAAATAGCAAGGCAAGGACGTGGTCATTCTCTTGCCAAAACCCTACGAGGCAGAAACAACAGCAACATTCCCCCTGGGGAAAAAAACAAAAGGTTTTGCATGGCTAGGAGGAGGTTCGCGCACACTGCACATGCAAACTCCGATTCCTACCTGCAGGGCGAGGTGCTGCAGGCGAGTGGGGTTGACTGCGTTGACCACGATGCACTTGGACGGCTGGTCCCAGCTGGCACTGATCTCCTCATTCATCATCATGCGACTCGCCACTCCTGTGACCGCCTTCTCTGTCATCCCAAACATCTGAAGATTGAGGGAAGAGCAAACACAAACACAGGGGGAAGGAGGGCGATAAGGCAATGGGAGGGCTGGTCCCAGCTGGCGCTGATCTCCTTGTTCATCATCATGCGACTCGCCACTCCTGTGACCGCCTTCACTGTCAATCCAAACATCTGTAATTGCAGGGAGGAAACACGGGTAGATGCAAGAAAGGTGTGGGTTGGAGGGCTGGTCCCAGCTGGCGCTGATCTTCTCATTCATAATCATGCGGCTGGCCACGCCCGTCACTGCCTTCTCCGTCATGCCAAACATCTGTAGATGCAGGGAGGTAACAGGGAGAGGTGTGTGTGGTTAATCTAGTTAAACTACTGAAATAATTGGGATCATAAAGATGGTACCAAATCCCTCCCAACCCAGCCCAACCGAACCAACCCCACCCAACCCTACCTACCACCCATCTGTGTAAGCTGATCCAGACTAATGGAAGCATAAGTGGACGAGGCATTGAAGAGGAACGTCCGGAGGGCCTCCTGCTGGATCTTCCCTTGCAGCATCCTCAGCACAACCTCCCTCTTCCACTTCTTTCATTCAAACCCCACCAAACCCCTTCAAACCTCACCCAACTGCACTCAACCCTGCCGAACACCCACCTGCGTCAGCTGATCCAGGCTGATGGAAGCATAAGTGGACGACGCGTTAAAGAGGAACGTCCGGAGAGCCTCCTGCTGAATCTTCCCTCGCAGCATCCCCAGCACGGACTCTCTCTGCGCCACTGGCAGCAGCTTCCACACGTCCAGCGCCTCTGCCAGCTGCACGGACCGCAGCCAGTCGCCACACATGAGCGCTCGCGAGGCAGCCATAACGTGGTCCCTCACGTTCTCTGCAGGGAGGGACGAGAGGGGAGGAGGATGGGCAGGAGAGGAAAGAGGTCGGTTGAGGCAAGCAGGAAGCAGCTTCCACACGTCCAGCGCCTGTGCCAGCTGTACGGACAGCAGCCAGTCGCCACACATGAGGGCGCGGGACGCTGCCATAACGTGGTCCCTCACGTTCTCTGGCTGACACAACAACAACGTGTGGGTAAGAGGGATGACGGGCGGAAGGGGGGGGGAGGTTAAGAAGAGGTGGTTGAGCGGAAGCAGCTTCCACACGTCCAGCGGCTCTGCCAGCTGCGCGGCCCTCTGCCAGCTGCACCGCCCTCTGCCAGCTGCACCGCCCTCTGCCAGCTGCACCGCCCTCTGCCAGCTGCACCGCCCTCTGCCAGTCGCCGCGCAGCAGAGCAGCATGGCGCACAGCAGATGCACCGCCTCCAGCAATTCCAAATTCACATGCATGAATTTTGCATCTACCCTGGCACTCACTGCAGCTCTCCCCTCCTCCATTTCCCCAGGCATTCCGTCAGGCACTCCCCATGCAAAACTCCCTCTAAACAGACGCCGGGACAGAGGAAAACCGGGGGAGAAGGGGTGATGGACTCACCAGGAGGGCCGGTGAACGTCTGGCGCTCGTATATATCCAACAGCCGGCGGAAGTTCTTCGAGATCACCCGCCTGCGCCCATCCGTGGAGTGCGCCGCCAGCGACGGCACCTCCAGCAGCATGGCGCACAGCAGATGCACCGCCTCCAGCAGCTCCAGATTCACATGCATGTGGTATGGCATCTGCCTGCGCCTCTCCACGCGCTCCTGCTCGGGGGTCTTCTCGTGGAACCGCGACTGGGACACGCCCTGCGCGAGGAGCTCTTTCACGCGGCCGCCGGCGAAGAGGTCGGCAAGGCAGCTGTGGGCGTCCGGGATGAGCCCCCTGCGGAAGGCGGCGAGGCCCAGCTGGGCCATGGCGCGGTTGAAGAGGATCTGCGTGCTGATGTCCATCTGCTGCACCGCGTCCTGTTGGAGTGAGGGAGGGGGGGGAGGGGGGTTGGGGAGGTGAGGGAAGCGTTGAGCCCTATCTCATGTCCCCATGGCGCGGTTGAAGAGGATCTGCGTGCTGATGTCCATCTGCTGCACCGCGTCCTGTTAGGGGGGGGGGAGGGGGGGGGGGGAGGATTGGATTGCATGCCTGCTCTCCAAACACCCCCGACGAGCTTCTTACCCGCTACAAGCCCCCTTAAAACCCTAGATAAACCCCCCTGAACACCTATCGCCCCTCCTCCTATAACCCTACCTGGAGGTGGGAGATGAGCATGAGGTCGCGCGCCGTGTGGTACTCGTCGTTGATCGCGTGGTGGTAGATGTCGCACAGCATCGCGCGCGCCTTGCTGCGCTCCTCCCCGTGCGCGTACACCACCGCCAGCAGCGCCTTCATCATCGCGCGCCCGCTCTCCGGGAAAACCGGCCACCGCGGAACCGCCTCTGGCGTCGGGATGAACGCGGGCGGCCCGTACGAGTTCACCGCGATCGCGGCGCGGCGCTTGGCGTCTTTCGCGGCGGCGGATTCGGGCTCGTCGTCTGGGGAAGCGTCCTCGTCGCCTCCGGCGGCGGCGGCGTCCGCGGGGGTTTCGGCGGCGGCGGCGGCGGCCGCCGCTGCCTGCTGCTGCTGCTCCGACATCAGGCGCAGAGCTGCGTACACGTTCTGTGGGGACGCGGGGGGTGCATGGCGAGCGATGGGGAGTGATGCGGAGCGAGGGGGTGCATGGGGAGCGATGCGGAGCGAGGGGGTGCATGGGGAGCGATGCGGAGCGAGGGGGTGCATGGGGAGCGGGGGGGTGCAAGGGGAGCGATGGGGAGCGATGGCATGCGATATGGGCAGGAGGGGAGGAAAGAGGGGGTTAAGATGAAAGAGGAGAGAGGAAGAACGAGGGAGGAGGGGGAAAACGAGAAAGCTCGAAAAAAGAGGAAGACAGTGGAAGGCGCGGATGGGGAAGGGGAAGGGGGGAGCGGGAGGGGAGCAGCGCGAGAACAAAAGCAGAAAGAAGACTATGCTACCAAAAAGGACAACGAAACCCTAATCTAAGAACACGAGGGCTAACCGTTAGAAAGCTATCCGTTAGAAGGCTAACCTGAGGCTTGTAATAGATGTGCTCGCACAGGCGACGAGCCGCGCGCGACGCGCCCTTGGTGTCGCCCACGCGCAGCGAGTACGCCTGCGCGTTCTGCGCCAGCGCGAGCAGCGTCGGCTCGTCCTTAAGCCGCTCTAAGTACGTCTTAGTGTACGGATCCGTGCACTGGAGGCTCTTAAACAGCTCGTCGTCCATACGCTCTACAAACGACACCACCGATCCCCACACCCGGATCTTCCCCTCGAAATCCGCGCCTTTCTGCGTCTCGTTATCGTCCTCCACCACCTCGTAGTTCTCGTCCAGGACAATGTTGTGGTTCCCCTCGAGAATGTCGAGAATCGTCATTATGTTCTCCGCGCATTTCCTCCAAACGGGGACGGGCAGATGCAGGTGAAGGTTCTGTGAAACGTCAAACTGCGCGGAAACCACCTGCATCATAACCTCCAGTTTCTGCGCAGGGGTTTTTGCGACTTTAGCCAGGTAAGTCAACTGCTCCACCTGCTCCACCCTATCCGTCCCCTTACGACCCCTAGCCGCAATAATCTCCTTAAGCTTCTGATTCACCTCCTCCCACTTAATCTCGCTATGGTCCCTCTGAAACTGCTTCTCCATCGCCCGATCCTTCTTGCTCTTCTGCGTCTCCCACCCCTCCCCTCCCTCCTCCTCCTCCTCCTCATCCCCTCCCTTCCTATCCAACGGATCCTCCACCCCCTCCTCATCCCCCTCCTCATCCTCATCCTCCTCTTCCTCCTCGTCGTCGTCCTCCTCCTCCTCCTCAGACTCCGGACTCGCCCGGAACTTCTCAATAACAGCCTCATACAACTTATTATTCTTCTTCAGTTTCTGCTTCATGTAATTCAGAGCCTTGGCGTTGCTGCTGCTCATCTTCTTCTTCGCCTCTTTGTTCGTCAAGGCGGCGTTCAGGTGATCTTCCAGCAGCACCACACCCTTGACGTACGGCCGCGGGGGCACGGAGGACTCGATCAGGCGAAGCACCTTCTCAAGCTGCTTGTTCAGCTTCTCAAAGCTCTCCTGCGCGCAGTGAAGAAAGTAGAGTGGAAGAGGAGTAGACGAGGAACAACAAAAAGGACCAGAGGAAGGTTTGAGTAGCTATCTTCTCAAAGAACAGCGCCCTGAAGCACAACGCCATGGACGTACGGCCGCGGGTGGTCGGAGGAATCGACCCCGCAATTCTCCTAGCTATCGTGATAACGGTAGCATGATTACATTCTAAACTAAGTCAACCGCAATTGGCGAAACCCTAGATCCCAGAGCTGTGCCAGAGATTTACAGCTGCACGCCACTTGGAAATTCCAGCAACATCAGGCACGGAAAATTCATTCTAGATGTTGAAAAATCCGTACCTGCAGAGCCACCCAGTCGTTGATCTTCATCTGGTTCTTAATCTGCTCCACCGTCGACACCATCTCGTCGTACCGCTTCTCCCGGGCCGGCCTAACGACGCGCGCGCGACCGTCGTCGCTGTCCTCGCTGTCGCTGTCGCCCTGTCGCAGGTAGATCGACGCTCGCCCGGCATCGCCGGCGGCCTTGGGGGCCTCGTCTTCTTCCTCCTCCGACTCTTCCTCTTCGACTTCTTCCTCCTCCTCCTCGGACTCGCTGTCAGACTGCAAGGGAATTTGGTGGAAAAACAGTTGAACATGTCAATGACAAACTTATCCTATTCTACCTCCTCCTTCCCCTATTTCCCCCACTAATCCTCTGCTCATCCTCAAACCTGCTCTAGATTCTCTTCCTATCCTCTGACTACTCTTATTCGAATTCCCCCTCCTCCAAACATCTCACTAGTCAACTCAGCAGTCTCATCCTCCTCCTCCTCCGACTAATTGATCGAACGCGTGGGAGAAGCTCAATGGAAAGCTGAGAAACATGACACGTAAAATTAGGGTTCATGTTAAATTCATCAAACTCGCTGTCACGCCGATTGATTCTAGACAGACCAACACACCCGCTCCTGGATGGTCGAGAAATTTATCTAATATCGATCATTATTTTCTCAAGTCTAGACGACTCCGCAAAAATCACCGTCCATCTCCATGTAGTTTTCAGGTTCAGGCGGCATCCCACCAGATTCGCGATCGATCTACACGTGGACTACGAGATAATCGGGCGGTTTATACGTATAACGTGGTGGATCCGACGATTTCGCAACTTATCGTCTGCAGCAACCTCGTTCTCCGGACCTTGGCCAGTCTTGAACTCACTAATAAGTCATCCGAAATTGATCATGCACACGTCTACCATCTACCGATCAGCGCGATTGTATCTGCAACGGGCGTAAGCATATCTCATCCACAGTAAGCACGCGCGCGTCTACCATGCACCTATAAGCGCACCTGCATCCAGAAACGGGACGCCATGGTTGCAGATGTCAGAGGCTCGAGTCGCGAAGACCGAGGTTTTGAATGGCGAATCGGGTGCTGCAGACGGCCTGAGGACTGAATTAGGTCCCTGGCAAGAGAGCACCAGAAACAGCAAGTGCCGAACTTAGGGAGGTAAGGCGGAGAAAGTGCGGAAAGATGGGGGAAGATGGCTCAGATGGGGGGAACCGGGGAAAAGTTGTGGGGGACAAGTGCGGGATGAATCAAGTTGAGCGGGGGCAGTGGAGGTAAGGGGAGTTGTGTGATCAAGTGCGAACTGGTTGATTGATATTACACCGCTTTTAGCTAAGTGGTGACAGAATGAAGCAGAAATTGCGAACCTCGATCTTCTCCCGAGTGTTGGTATGCCACCGCCTGCACTGAACTCTGATAACAAGCTACACCTCAAAACAAATATATCAGTAAAGTGAAGTTTACACTCAAAGGCAATACAATGCAATCCATATATCTACATATATTTTAGTTCCTATAACTGCTGTCCTTTTTTCACTCGTCAAAATCATTGACACATGATCACTGTTGCAATAACTGCTCTACCTGCTCCAAAAAATGGCACATTCTCAAGCTACCGTAAGAGCGTATTCCTACAGGGCCACCTCGTATCAAGAATGGTACTCCTGCCTGTAAATTGACAAGTTCGCCAAAACCTCATATCAGTAAAAGTTGCCGGTTAACCCACATGTGCGACTCCATCAACAGCTGATGTGGCATGTTGCGACCCAGCATGAACAAGTTTGCACACTTTGCACGTTCGCGCGCGGCGCACGACTGCCACCGTGTGCAGTTTCGCATGACTGTTTGTCGGCCGCATTCACTGGACTGACGACTTCGCGTCAACTGGAACCGTGCGTCGGAAAATCAGCACGTTCACTTCTGGGTGTGCGAGCATTTTCATTGGTGCGCTGGTTCGGTCTATTCTTGATATAAGGTGTTTTATACCGTAAACAAAAGTCAGTTTCATTCTTGATACGAGGTGGCCCCGTAGGAATACGCTCTAATGTTTTCAGCATTCATAGCTTCAATGTATCACTAGTACCTGTTCTCAAGGAAACAGGATTTACTCGAACTCGATCATGGTCTCACCCAACGACACAGATGCCCCGACCTTAACATACACAGCCTTTACAGTGGCCGCCTCCTCGGCACGCAGGACATTGCGCATCTTCATGGCTTCAATCGTTATCAACTCATCGCCAGGAAGCACCTGTCGAACGAGCGAATAAAGGAGTTCAAGACAACGTCGAGTAAAAATGGTCGCTGAATGGTGTTCGGAGACTGGAGCATGGAGCGAATTGGCAGCTGCATAGCTTTGCGTCTGAGCAGTGACAGAAACTTTTTTCTCTCACCTTTTTGTTTGGCTTGACACCGATTGCAACCACTGCTCCAGGCATAGGAGCCTTGACCATCTGCACACAAAAAGGGAGAGAAACGTGGGAAGAAAGGTCGGGAAACTGAGTGGGTGGATACACATGCACGAGGATGAGTACGAGTATATGTGGTGAATGCCATCGAAAGATAAATGCTTGTAGAAGGACTCAAGAGAATTGTGTACTCCGTATGCCAACAAGGAAATGGAGAAAATGTAGCATATGGTACGTTGAAAACATGTAAGATTGGATATTGCATCTCGAAGCCAAGTGGGTATCGCACCTTGGAGACATCTTGGACCTTCTTGGGCGGCATGTACTTCTGTAGAGGAGCCACCTTCTTCTGATGCACCAGCACCTCGTCCTGTAGCAGTCAGCGTGTGGAGAGAGGAGAAAGAGATCAACCGCAGAGAAAGGGACAGAAAAAAAAAAAAAAAAAAAAAAAAAAAAAAAAAAAAAAAAAATCCGCCTCAGAAATAGACTCCAGAAGGGGCAACCTTCATCTGATGCACCAGCACCTCATTCTGTTGCAAAATACCATCTGGCTGTACGTGTGCCAGATAATGGCTCCACCAAAGTATGCTGATTTGGGTAACAGTTTCCGTTATAGCTGTACATCTCAAGGTTGAGAAATTTCAAACTACAGCAATAACGGAAACTGTTACCCAAATCAGCATACCTTGGTGGAGCCATTATATGAGAATGAGATTGAATTGAACCCTCTGGCATGCTTCTCTCTCACCATGCACACTGTGTCCTCCCCATCCACGCGGACATCCACCACCCCCCGCCCCAGCCCCAGCCTCAGCCCCAGCCCCAGCCCCAGCCCCAGCCGCACTGCTTTCGAGGTGCCTCAGAAGAGAGCATACCTTGGTGCAGCCGTCATATACGAGCTTAAAGCCCCTGGCGTGCTTCTCCATGACCATGCACACGGTGTCCTCCCCATCCACCCGGATATCCACCACCCCTCGCCCCAGCCCCACTGGCACTGCCTCCTCCACCCGAATCACCTCCCCCCCCACCTCTATGTCCTGCCAGGGAGCAGAGGGATATGGGAACATGGGAGAATGATGATATATGGGGAGGGAAGAGGTGATATGGGGATATGAGAAGGGAAGAGGAGACATGGGGGTGTGAAGGGGGAAGAGAAGATATAGGGATATGTAGAGGGAAGGAGGGAAAGATGAGAAATGAGATCAGAGAACGCCAGAGAATGGCGGGAGTGGGAGAAAACACGAATAAGTAACAGTGCGAACAACAGTAACAACTGTGTGACTGTCACTCACAGCGACACAGAGGTGCGGCTTTTTCTCGTTGCTCCAGTGCCGCACCACTACACTACAGGATACATACTCCACCTCATTCGAACTCACCACCAGCTCCGCCTTCCCCCAAGAGAGCATCAGGTGAAGAGCACAAGACAGCCTACAAGCACTCACAACAACATATGAGCACTCACGGCGACACAGAGGTGCGGCTTCTTCTCATTGCTCCAATGCCGCACCACAACAGCATGCTCCACCCCATCCGAACTCACCACCAGCTCCGCCTTCCCCCAAGAGAGCATCAGGTGAAGAGCACAAGTCAGCCTACAAGCACTCACAACAACATATGAGCACTCACGGCGACACAGAGGTGCGGCTTCTTCTCATTGCTCCAATGCCGCACCACAACAGCATGCTCCACCCCATCCGAACTCACCACCAACTCCGCCTTCCCCCTCAGCCCCTCCCCCCCATCCTCCTCCCCCTCCTCTCCTCCCCCATCTCCCTCCTCCTCCGCCCAACCGGCATGCGCCAGGTGTCCGTTTCCTATTGTGCCGGGCGTGCCGGGGGCGGCAGCATTGACAGCTAGCAGCGACCTCCGGGATTTGACTATTTCAAGAAAGGCAGCAATGGCTGCAACTTCTTTCTGTGTGTGTGTGTCAGGTGAGGAGGGGATGAGGGCAGGAAGAGAAGGTGGGAAGAGGGGAGATGAAGCCATGCAGGTAGTGGAAGTCCGGGAACACATATGGATAGGGGTGCTCACCTCTAGAAAACACCTATTCAGTCATCAGTCAGTTGCTTCCACTCACTCCACCTCTCCCAGGTCTCACCTCCTCTTTGGGGGTGAGCCTGTCATCTGTGAAGCCATGCGGGTAGTGGAAGTCCAGGAGCACATGGATAGGCGTGCTCACCTCTAGCAAACATAGATGCAACACCAATTTAGTTGTCACGAGATTGCCTCCACTCACTCTCAGCTCTTCTTACTATCACCTCTTCTTACTCTCACCTCTTCTTACTCTCACCTCTTCTCTAGGCGTCAGCCTGTCATCTGTGAAGCCATTTGGATAATGGATGTCCAGAAACTTGGTGCTGATGTCTCCTGACTCGAATGCCTGGGGCAGCAGGAGAAGCACAGAGGGGCAATGCAAAGAGGGCGGAGCGGATTTCAGTTTCAAGGCACGAGGCACCTCAACACAGAGACATGCATGAGCAGAAAAGCTTAAATGGGACCTCTAAGGGCTTTGCCTGGCAGCTCTGCCAGAGAGATTTGCCTGACAACCTAAGTGTGGGAAAACACGAGCACGCACACACCCTATAACAAGTGAGCTGTGTGCGCGCAGCAGAGTGGCAAATTGCGCGCAGCAGAGTGACAGAGTGCCCGCTGTTTACCGGCTGTGAGAAGATGCAGCGGAGGAAGGAGATGTTGTTGAAGGGCCCGCACACATAATAACGATCCAAGGCGTGCTGGGAGACAGAAAGTGGGAGGAGAGAGAGGAGACATGAAGAGGAATCAGATGCGTGTCTAGTATTAGGCCATTCTAGGCCTGTTTGTTAGCAGTTTCTGGAAAACATCTTTTAAGAAAAACAAAAAAAAGCTGTATTTTTACTGAAATGTCTGTAAAATACAACCGTTAAAAAAGGTTGTAGCTTATGGTCTCTATATTTTTTCGACCTTGCACAAGCGAGTTTTGAGACAACCTGGAATATGGTTAGAAATTTGGAACTGTACCTTCATGGACTCGAGAGCGTCCTTTCTCGTTGGTCCCCACGTGATTAGCTGGTATTGAGGGACGGGGGGCAGGGGGAGTGGTGGGGCATATTTTCACAAGTGCGAGAAAGAACTAAGTCACACACAAGTTTGACAGCAGGAAATGGAGAGGAAAAAAAAAAAAAAAACAAACAAACGTACGTGAACCACATTGAAAGAGAAAGCATGTTGACAGCAAGCGAAGAAAAAGACTTTGCGCAAGTGTGAATAAGATTGAGATGCAGACACACGGCAGATTCCTACATGTACTACGACCCCCTCCTCTCCAAGGTGTGTCGCTACGTGCAGCTCGTGAGCATGGCACGTAACGACACACCTCAGAGGGCAGAAGGTCATAGTACGTGGAGATGTACTGCCCCTCCACCGCGCCTGTGTCCAGCCTCACGTCATTTGAGCCGCCTCAGCCGCACACCATTTGAGCCATGCTGCATACGCACCTTAGACAGCAGCGGGTCGTAGTACACGGAGAAGTGTTGCCCCTCCACTGCGCCTGTGTCCAGCCACACACCATTCGACTCAAGTTACTTCCTTCGACACAGCGAGGCATGATGCATAAGAGCACACCTTGGAGAGCAGCGGGTCGTAGTACATGGAGATGTATTGCACCTTCACTGCGCCTGTGTCCAGCCGCACACCATGTGGGTGGACAGAAGAGTCAAATACCTTGGACAACAGAGGTTAGTAGTACATGCATACGCACCTTGGATAACAGCGGGTCGTAGTACATGGAGATGTATTGCCCCTCCACCGCCCCTGTGTCCAGCCGCACGATCTCAGTCGGCGTCCGCACCTCCTTGGGCTCGCGGTACCTGCGCAGCTTGCCTGTGGACCTGGTTGGGGGGAGGCGATGAAAGAAAAGGAGAGGATGAGAGGGGAAATGCATGCAGTGGTTGGACGTGCACCTCCCTGAGCACCTCTCCTTGGGCTCGCGGTACCTGCGCAGCTTGCCTATGGACCTGGTGGGAAGGGGTGGGAAGCAGATAGGTGAGGATGGGGGGAAAAAAGCATGGAATGGATGGACGCGCACCTCCCTGAGAACCTCGTTTGTTAATACAGAAGACAAAGTACTCACAACCGAATCGACGACCACCTTTCGATACAGAGGGATACGGCTCACAACTCCTCACGCATCTGTTAATAATTCGGATGGATTACCCACGGCGGGAAGTTTGTGAAGGGGAGTACGCAGTACAGCCGGAAATCCAACGCCCACCCGTGGATACTCTTTGCCCTCGCCTGGTCTATGGGCAGCTTTGACCTTTGAGTGGACTCAAAGTCATTCTAGAGAACAAGTGACTCACGGGAGGAAGTTCATGAAGGGATGCTCGCAGTAAACCCGGGACTCCAGCGCCCACCCGTGGATCTTCCTCGCCCTCTCCTGATCTATGGGCAGCGGTGACTTTAGACTGATTCAAAGGGGGAACTACTCACGGGAGGAAGTTCATGAAGGGGTGCTCGCAGTAAACCCGAGACTCCAACGCCCACCCGTGGATCTTCCTGGCCCTCTCCTGATCTATGGGCAGCGCATGGCCGGCAGCGGAGTGGAGCATGAGGTGCACGAGGTCGAGCCCCGTGACGCACTCCGTCACCGGATGCTCCACCTGCAGGCGCGTGTTCATCTCCAGAAAGAAGAAGTTCCTCTGTGCGTCCACCAGGAATTCAACGGTACCTGGACGTTGCGACGGGAGCAGAGGGTAGAAGAGGGGAAGGAGGGGTGAAGACGACAAGGTGTGGAGGTGTGTGACGCATTCGGTCACTGGATGCTCCACCTGCAGGCGCGTGTTCATCTCCAGAAAGAAGAAGTTGCGCTGCGCGTCCACTAGGAACTCTACAGTGCCTGGAGGGAGGGGAGGGGAAGAAGGGGAAGAGAGGTAGAAATGAGTCTGTGTGGGTCACAGGGTGCCCCCCCTGTAGGCGCGTGTTCATCTCCAGAAAGAAGAGATTCCTCAACGCATCCACCCGGAAATTTACAGTGCCTGGAGGGAGGGGAGGAGTGTGGCGGGAAGAGAGGGGAGCATAGTGATGGTATAGGCAGGTGGCACAGTGCATACCAGGACAGCACCCCCCCCAAATACAGCCATACCAGCAGAGTCGTAGTTGACTGCCTTGGCCAGTGACACAGCCTCTAAACTAATCAACTCAGCATCTTCCCCTTTCCCTCGTTCTCCTCTCCCCCTCTCCCTTTTCTCACCCCCCTCCCTCCCTCCCCCCCAACGACGCACATACCAGCGGAGTCGTAGTTGACAGCCTTGGCCAGCAATACAGCCTGCTCGCCCATGGCCTCCCTCGTTGCCTCGTCCAGGAACGTGCTGGGCGACTCCTCTATCACCTGGCGATTGAGGGTTCAGAAGAACGGAAAGAGGGGTTTTTGCAAGGGAGCAGCGAGATTACCGTAACCGTATACCCACAACGTAACGCCCATGGCCTCCCTCGTTGCCTCGTCCAGAAACGTGCTGGGCCACTCCTCTATCACCTGGCGATTGAGAGGTGGGAGGAATGGACGGAGGGGTTGTGCAAGAAGGGAAAGCGCGAGCTGTCTAGCATATGCAGGTTGGACGCTGTGAGAGGTGACAATGTATGTGAGGGATGGAGTTGGGGAGAAGCGGCGGAGGGGTATGTATGAAGAACGTGCTATGCTAAGCGCTTGGTTTGAAGTTTGGTTGTGTGTCACCTTTTGGTTTCGCCTCTGGATGGAGCATTCTCTCTCTGGTAGCCACACCTGGACAATCAACAAGGTACACCACCACACCACACCACACCACACCACACCACACCACACCACACCACACCACACCACACCACACCACACCATACCACACCACACCATACCACACACACCATACCCCACCCCACCACAACACAACACAAGACAAGCACAGGGGCGCGGAGTGTATTGCTCATAGAGACAGCATCCAGGTTAGAATCAAAGCCCAAACACGTTGGAGCCCTGCCACTTCACATGCGAACCCGAGGACCAGTCGTAGTGAGTGGAGCAGTGTGGGAGGAGTAGCGACAATCTGCTGTGCTTAATCTAGCATGCCAGTGAACGCGTGGGGCAGGAGGAGGAGGGGAGTCAGGATTGGTACGCACCACATTGCCATGCTTATCCCCCATGACCTGCACTTCGATGTGCCTTGGCTTGTCTATGAACCTGCTCAAGCCGGTTGCAGCAGCAGGAAAGGAACAGAGCAAGAGAGGCACTTAGTGGTTTAACCGGATGTGAGGTTCAACTGACTCGATATTCACATTGACGAGAATTATCGTACGTCATTCATGACAAAATCCTCATGAGATATTGTTCCACTGACACCTGCATGCATACTGACAAGAACTATTCAGCACAAGAGAATCGTTCAAGGCACTAAAACAGTTCACGCCTAAGATGCGGACAGTTTTGAGATTTCTCAAAACGTTTCACGCCTAAGATGCGGACAGACCTTTCCACGAAGATGCGGTCGTCAGCAAAGCTGGAAGCCACCTCTGCCTTGCACACGCTGAACTTCTCCCGCACCTCCTTCTCATTCCTGCACTCAGAGGAAGCGAGGGGATGGGGACAGAGGGAAAACCTCAAGTCAAGAATTGTGTAATTCGCCTGATACACTCACCCGCATCCCTTACTATGCCCATTGCTGTCCAAACCAATACCCAGTTTACATGGTTCTTCACTTGATTGCAAGTTTCCTCCGTGGTGTGACAATGAAATTAACAAAAACACTAAAGGTTTCACAGGATATGATTTTAAGAACCAGCTCATTCTTTCCTCTCACCTTGTCAGTCTGAATTTCCAACAAAACGTGTTCAAATCACGCCCATTCATGTAGGTTCTAAAGAGCCTTAGCATAACAAACCAGTCCGTGGGCAACAAAACGCGTTGACAGACATTTTTCGCTTGACTTTTCTTTTCCTTCCTGCCCGGCAAGATGTTACGCGCTTTTACGCGTATGTGTACGTACGTTTACGTTGACGCGTAACGTACGATTACGTGGGGTCCCGTCACCGCACCCGTCATCATGGCACCTACACCCCTCACACTGCTCACCATGCAACACGCATGCCCTTGCCTCCTCCACCGCCAGACGCCTTGAGCATGACTGGGAAGCCCCAATAAGCAACTGCAATAAGCTTTGTTTTTACAACTGCACCCGTGATCATGGCACCTACACCCCTCACACTCCTCACCATGCCACACGCATGCCCTTGCCTCCTCCACCGCCAGACGCCTTGAGCATGACTGGGAAGCCAACCTCTTGCGCTGAGGGAGAGAGACAGACGAAAAGAGGATTTGGGAAATGGGTGGTGGCAGGCAGCAGGGGTGAGGGGGGGGGACGGGGGGCGGGGTGAGAGGGATACGGCAGGGCAGGGGGATGGCAGTATGGAAGAATTGGCGTTTTGAGGAGCTAAAGCATTGAGCACGAATGTACAGTTGTAGAACAGTATATAGCCCAAGCAATTTCCTTGGATAAACTTCACAATGGTGCCTTGGTTGATACAGAGAAAGATGAAACATGGTTCTTACAAATTCCACCAGCGTGGTCCTCCTCCACTGGGTAATAATTATTGAAGTTCTTACCGATCTCAACCGCATGGTCCTCGTCCCTGATAACGTCCTCCTTCCCTGGAATGGTGTTCACCTTCGCCTCTTTCGCCAGCCGCTTGCTGTGAATCTGGATGGAACAGCACAGCAGGCAGGGGAGGAGGGCCCAGGGAAGGGCAAAGAGGAGGGCAAGGCAGCAACGTGTTTGAATGAGTACGAGTACGGGGAAGGGTAGGCGGAGGGTGGAACACAGCACATGCTTGAATTTCTGGAAGCTTCCGAACCCTAGTAATACCTTCATACCTTCTCACATCACATCGTCCACAACTGCTTCAGAAACTCAGGATTCCCTGATTGCCCTTTCAAAAAGAATTAGGTATGAAAGTCTTACCTTGTGACGCCATGGCGGACAAGGTGGGTTGGTGTTGGCGGCGGACACTGCTTCAGAAACTCAGGATTCCCTGATTACCTTTTCAAAAAGAACTACAAGCCGCGTCACCCCACCTTGTCCCCAGTGTCCGCCGCCAACGCCAACCCACCCACCTTGTCCCCCATGGCGTCAATGGCGTTCAGATTGGGCCCCACGAACGTCACGCCCTCCTCATCCAGTGTTTTTGAGACGTCTCAAAAGCAGTCAACCATCCCACCCACCTTATGCCCCATGCCGTCACCCACGCCCCGCCCCACCTTGTCCCCCATGGCGTCAATGGCGTTCAGGTTGGGCCCCACGAACGTCACGCCCTCCTCATCCAGCCGCTCCACAAACAGGGCGTTCTCCGACAAGAACCCGTAGCCAGGGTGCACCTGGGGAAGGTGGAGGAGGAGGCATGAGCGGCAGTTGAGTCGGTAAACAGGGTACAGGCACCATGCAAGGGCTGATCCTCCTCCCAGCTCCACAAACATGCCATTCTGTGACAGGAACGCCTTACTGGGGTGCACCTGGGGAGGGAGAGAGGAAATAAAAAGGGCCAGAAGCGAGGATGTGCGCGACGAGCAATGGAGCTAGTGAGAGGGATGGCCAGAAATGCCTCCTCCTCCCAAATGCTCCACGAACATGCTCAATTAGAGTAGAAGGATTGCATGCATGCAGCGCTCACGATATGAGCCCCTGTGTCTCTGAACGCCGTCCAGCACAACACAGCATCAGTGATCAGACCAGCTCCTCCTCTGGCCGGCCCTCCGTTTTACATCTCAACCAAATCCCAACTACTGCATGCATGCAGCACTCACTGCGTCAGCGTCTGTGCTCCTAATGGCTTCCAGCACAGCATCCGTGTTCAGATAGCTCTGTGCTGCCGGTTGTTCCTAAGTGCAGTCAGTTTAGAACGGGCACACGTACATGCTTGGGACACTCACCGCGTCAGCCCCTGCGCTCCTGATCGCGTCCAGCACAGCATCCGTGTTCAGATAGCTCTGCGCTGCCAGTCGCTTCAAACATCACTCAGTTCTGAAGGATTACATGCATGCAGCACTTACCGCATCAGCCCCTGTGCTCCTAATCGCTTCCAGCACAGCATCCGTGTTCAGATAGCTCTGTGCTGCCGTTGCAGGGCCCTGGCATGGAGAGATGGGAGTGGGCCGGTGGGGGGGGGGGGGGAGGGGATGAGGGAGGCGGGGATGGGAGAACATGAGAGCATGACAGAAGCGGAAGGAATCATGGGTGGGGGTCAAAGGCAGGAACGGAGCAATGGCGGACGAGATTGAGGAGATGAAGAGCGACAGCAGAATCTACGAGAGCAAGTGGCGCAGCAGCACTGGAAAAGGAAAAGAAAATAAAAGTAAGAAACAGACGCAGCTGACCTACCGAAAGCAGGCAGGCAGGGCTCAGCTCACCACACAAACGGCTTCATCAGCCATGCGGACGTGCAGGCTCTCGACGTCCGGCTCGGAGTAGATGGCCACACTGCAAATACCCTTGGAGACGCCTCAACAACAAACAGACAGCAGGCAGGCAGGCAGGGCTCACCACACAGACGGCTTCATCCGCCATGCGGACGTGCAGGCTCTCCACGTCCGGCTCGGAGTAGATGGCCACACTGCGAATGCCCAATGCCCGTGCTGTCTTCATGACTCGACATGCTATCTCCCCCCTGTTCGCCACCAGCACCTTGGAAAAGAGCTGGAGTGAGGGGGAGAGGGTGAGGGAAGTGTAAAACGCGTGAATCTGAGAATCCTCAAAGTGCTCGTGCTGATGCGACATGCTATCTCCCCCCTGTTCGCCACCGGCACCTTGGAAAATATCTGGAGCGAAATGGGAAGGGGTGAGGGAAGTGAGGGGCATACACGACAGGCTGATAATCCATTAGAATGCTTGTGCTGCGTGGAAGACGCAGGGGATGCGTCGTCGTGGCGTGACGCGTGGTGATAAAGAGACGACGTGGCGTCGCGAGTTGAGCGACCGGTTTGTGCGAGACGCTTTGTACCAGGCGGAAGCCGGGAAAGGCAGAATCTCCACATGATGACAGAAATTTGAAGACTGAACCAACGCTATCTGCTGTCAGACGTTCGAAGGATCAGCCAACAATGGCAGACGCTTGACGTTTATAGGGTAATCAGCAGAACAAATCCTTCTCAGGCAACGATGAAAGACGCTCGAATGGCAGCCAGGAATCGCAAACGCTTCGCGGAGGTAATAAAATGTAAAAAAGGTACTTCTGCCGCCGCGCTGAAATCCTAAGCCGCTTTGTTCACCGCTGTCAACCGATTCTAATCCCACTGCTCTTCCTTGTGGTCTAAGACGGTGGTCGTGGAGGCGAGTTGAGAGCGATAATGGTTCCTAAAAAGGACGGATGGAAAGGACGGGGCGCGATGGTGGATGGAAGACGCTGCGTCAGTCGTTTCGACGATTTTGACAGGATGTGGAGTGAGGACATAAAACTCGACGATGGAATGGCGGGATGAGGAGGATCAATCGCGGAAAAGCGACCTACGGACGAACGCAAAAAGGCTGCGACAAGGTCGAAACGGTGCAGGTGGCTACAAACTGCGAGAATCTGACGAGAGGCTGAAACAAATGAAGTGGCGGAGCAGCAGGCGATGCTGACAACGACGGGTCACTTGCTCCTACCCTCCAGCCCAACAGCAGACGATGACAGACACCGCTGCTTGTGAAGCAATAACAGCTAATGAAACAAACGGCTTGGCAAGGACAAATGTTCCTGATGCAACAGCAACATTACATTTGTGAGAGTCTCAGTGAGCCGGGAGGAGCAGGACAGCTCTCCCTCCCTCCCTCCTCAACCTCAACCTCCGCCCCCCTACCTTGCACAGCGATGCTTGGCGAACATCCCGACAGCCAATCCTGAGGCTCAAAATAGATATCCATACCAGAAGATTTCGCCAATGTACGACAATCATTCCTTGGGTACAGTTTCCACCTCGGGATTGCCGCCCAGGTGCGGAACCAGCTCTTCCATTCCGTCCCGAGCCTGGGGAGGTTGGGGTGGAAATGTGGGACAGGTCTTGTTCCCCATGACCCCCCGAACCCCAGCGATCGAACGTCGGGATTGGAAAAACACGTCAGCAAGAAATGGCAGTTTGATACTTGGAGGAACGAATTCTGAGTAAGGAGACACGCAAGCAGATGGCTTTGGTGACGCAAAGCACTTGTGTTCCACTGGACCCACCGACTGTGGGAGTGGGGACATGATGTAATAGCGGCAATATACTCAATAGGAGACGTACACTATATGTAGCAAAACATACTTTATAGCATAGTCGTTCTTAGTTCATACCCCAATGTACCAAGCAAACTATTTAGATGTTATGTTGCCTTGCAACCTTGCTAACCATGTGTCTCCACTCCACCCCTTACACACCTCGATGAGGGTGGAAGGTCAAAGGATTGGCAAGCTTTTGCACCTCGCCATCTCTGCTTCTTGCTTGATGTGTGGCGTGCGGAGAAGGGAACAAATGGAGCACAAAACTCTTGGACATACCCCTTAGCCCACTGCCACACTCAAGATAACATCCCGCCTAGTTACCATTTGTCCAATTGGAATGCCCATAAATTGCCAGGGTGGCAAGGTTAATGAGGAACTGGCCACCATATACATATATCCAGTACAGTTTGTTTACACAAGAAACTTCACACGTGCAAGCTCTATAAGGAATATTTACTTCTGTGAGCTAATTTATGTAACATAGTGAGCTCAACGTACCGTAACACCGCCATGTTACTAAAGAACTTAATTACTACTGAGAAGTACCAGCTAAGCAACTGGGCTTACTTATGCCTACCATACCATCTTTCTCCCCTAAAACTGAGACCCGCTGGCCGTTTCCTCCTTGACGTCATGTCTGCCGCCATTGGCACGCACTCATGCCTGCTACCCTCAGCCAACTGGTACCCCCTGAAGCAAAGGCACTCAAACTGGAGATACTCCTCTGAAGCCGACCCATAATCTGGTTGCGACCCTGATTCATAATCCTCTAGAGTGGTCGCCGGGACGCACACGCCATGGCCCGAGCAAGGAGCGTTGGTGGCATTCGTGCCACAGAACGCGCTGCAGAGCTCAGCACGGTGCATAGACTTCATAGGGCAGACCTGATCGCCTGAAGCAAGGCAATTCCACGAGGCGAGTAGCTTTGTGGTCGGCAAATCCAAGGGTGTGCCACTAGGCGTGTAGTGATTGGGAGATTCAGCAGGGCAAATCGGCTCGTCTCCCACCAGCACCTCCCCACTCCCGTAGAAGAAATTTCCTCTGAAATCAGCTGCAAAATCCTGAGTTGGGCGGGCGAAGTCCGGCAACCTGCCCGAGAAGAAATTGTGGGAGATGTTGAGGAAGCTCAGAGGGACGTTGACTAGGGCATCGCGAGGCACGATCCCCACAAAGCGATTATGGCTGAGCGTGATACTATCGAGGTTCTCCATGCCGCGTAGCGCCGTCCACGGGAAGATTCCTGTGAATCCGTTATATGCCAAATTGAGGTAGTTTAGAGCAGAGCCTGTGCCCAGTAGGTTTCTTGGAATCTTCCCCTGCAACGCGTTTCCTGCAAGATTTAGCCCCGTCAGGTTCTTCATTTGTCCGAAGTCCGCTGGAAAGCTGCCCGAGATTTTATTCCAGCTGACATCGATGTACTGTAGCGAAGGGTGTACCGCTAATGGCGCTAACGAAGACGCGTATAACGAGTTGCGATGAAGGTCAAGCACTTCCAGCCGCCGCATGGAGGTAATCGCGCTGAAAGGGAGGTCACCCGAGAGGACATTGTGTCCCAGGCGAAGCGTGCGAAGTACGCGAAATTTGTCGAAACTGGAAGGTATAGATCCCGTAAGGCGATTGGATTCCAACGAAAGCTCCACGAGTGACCGCATCGACGCGAGTTGCGGCGGGATGGCTCCTTCCAGGCTGTTGGAGGCAAGGTCGAGCCACGTCAGCCGATGCAGTGTCGAGATTTCGCGAGGAATCCGACCCGTGAGTCTGTTTTCGCTCAAAGAGAGGGTTACCAGGTTCGTGAGAACGCCAATCCCTCGCGGAACGTTGCCCGTCAGCTGGTTGTCCGAGAGGATAAGGATGGACAGATCCGTAAGCGCTGTGACGGTATCTGGAAAAGGTCCCGATAACCCGTCTCCGTTCCCCGAAATGTAAAGCTCCCGTAAGAACCGAAGGTTGCTGATTTCGGCAGGAAGCGAACCAGTCAGATTGTTCCCCACGAGCGTGAGGCTTTCGAGGGCGGATAGGTCGCCAAAGCCGGGCGAAATCGTTCCGGTAACGCGTGACGAAATCAGCATCACGCCGTTGACGTCGCCGTTGCGGGTACAGCTGATGCCCGACCACTTGAAGCAGTCCACTCCAGAGATCCACGAATCTGAGCCGTCGAACTCCCCCCATTCGGATTTGATCGCCAGAAGCGCGTCTTCTTGGGCGGAATCTATCACAGCTGCTTCGGATTGACGAGAAAAAATCGAGAAGTAGCCTATTAAGAATGCTGTAACTATCGCTGCCCTGAGGTAGGGAGCTCCGGCAACGTGTACCGTTAGCGAGAAATGACGTGAATCTTGCACATGAGGCTGAGGTGCCATGACTAGCTTCTGGAGGACTGGGATGCGCTCACACACACGGCGTCTAGTTTCTACACTGGTTCTAGAGAAATAAGTGACATGGATAAGAAAGCGAGAGTTATACTAAGAGGTCTCTGAAACTGTGGAGCTGTGGATGCATAGCACTCCACCATTTGGGGCTAGGCTTGATGTGTCGGTTTGAGCCCACAAACAAGCCGTTTCTGGCTGTAGAAGGGGTGAAATGGGCGAGACCCACACCTTGTTGCTGGTTGCATGTGACAAATGAACGTCGGCGATGACAAGCGGGAATGCGAAACTGGGATCGAAATGGTCACCACACTTGCGGTTCGGATGTCTCGTATGATTGGGCAAATGTTCCAATTTTCGCAGCGCCCGATTGTTGATAAACAGTAAATTGTTGTGGCAAAAAAGTGGACGGCGGGAGTTGGACTTCCCGTTCAAGCCGCCGTGGTCAACGCTCGACAGAGGTCGTTGTAATTTTAGCCTGTACATAGATTACAACCTTATACCTGCATACAGATGACCATTCTAGCTTATATCACACACATATTCCATTAACGAGGTCTACAGTTGTGCCTTGCTTATAAACGGTCGGAAATTTTTGAAATTATATATTTACCGAGAATTTAAAACAAAATATGGGAAAACCATAAATAGATAATACGGTAGAAGAAAACTCATTGCTTGTAATATAATTGACAGGATATTTTATGACAATGAAACCAGCTATCTTGTACAGTAACACCGGCTAGTAGAACTTCCTGCTGATGTGAAAATGGCATGAGCACTATAAAGATTACATACAAATTATTAGTGTACCACAAGCCCGAGCCTGGAATAATTACTCACCTAGGGAGGGACTCTGAACTGAGTTCCATGTTCAGCGATATCCAGGACTGCGTCGGCGCTGGGCTATGTGGTAGACGAATTCGTTTCACCTCTCTGACGCCTGTAGCCTCCCTTGTACACGAATGATCAGAGCGGCTGGATGAGTACTAGTTTTGCGATTAACCAAAGCCGATAAGCACGGCTGTACATGCATCAAAGTGGTAGAAACAAGGTCGTGATAGGCGTATATAAGCGGGCATGGCTCCATCAGCGGCATCACTACCTTCAGCAGCAGCTGTGGAGCAGCACCACGAGAGCTTTCGCCGATGCGTTGACGATTGGGATTCTCGCGTGTCGGTGTTGACGCACCAGGTATATGCAAACCGGATATACTATGCGCACCTCCCGTATGTGCACATTCCGTGTCTGCACACCTTCCTTGACATGCATATGTCGCGTCTCGGTTAATGCATCTCTGTTTCTTCTTCCCCATATCTGGGTTGGCTGCTTGTGTTTTCCTGTAAATTCCTATCAATTCCTATCAATTCCGGTCAATTCCTGTCAATTTCTGTCACCTGTCAATCCTCATCAGTGTCTGTGACTGGGCCCCCGGCCCCATAATCACTGTCAACCGTAGTAGCATCTCAGACACTGATAAGCTCCTTATGATTGCCTGCGATTCATGTATACATGAATAGCTCCTGAAGGTCCATCTTTTCCCTGTCAATCCATGTCATGCCGGATCAACCTTGGTCCCAATTCCAATGAACCGTTATCATCAGCGTATCAATATCTGTAAACATCGATCAGCTCACCATTGTCTCACACTATTACGATCAATAACACGATCAATCCTCCATCAATTGCACCACTTCCAGACTTCCCAATCCATTGCTGAATTCTATTTGGGTTCAACCAACCCTCTCAACCCTTCTCCGTCGTCCAGTTGCAGTCTCGGAGCCAGTCAGCATGTGATTTAGACAGCTGGCACGATGTGATTGGCGTATCTGCAGAGCCATGGGGCGGAGGGAATCCTGCTGCAGCATCCATAGCATCTTCTGTAGTGGCCTCGGCAGCAGCAGCACCTGCAGCAGCAGCACCAGCAGGAGCAGAGGGGTCGGCACGAGTATCGCCAGATTCGTTGAATCTGCTCATTCAACACATCTCGTCCAAATGCTGTGCCATATACGATGCAGAACGGGAGGTATGCGCGTGCGCGCACACGCACGCGCGTGCTTGCATGTGTGTGTGTGTGTGTGTGTGTGTGTGTGTGCGTGTGTGTGTGTGTGTGTGTGTGGTACACTTGTGACGATGTGTGGTGAGGGGAGTGCATGTGGGGGTGTGTGTGTATGCATAAACCATGCTAAAAAATGGATTTTATGCCATTTCTGTTCGTATTCCTCATTTCTCATCTGTTCCCTCCCCTCGTTTCTGCCTGCTGCCTCACTTCCCCTGCTTCTTTCAACCCCTTCCTGCCCCCTTACCCCTTCCTCCTTCTCCATTCCCCCTCCTTTGCTCCCTTTTTACCTCATCCTCTGCAGGTCTTAAATCGCTTGCTGCCTCGCCTGCTGCTATTTGGGAAATCCCCTGCCGGGCCCGTCAACCCCCACTCCAGTGCTACCTCTGAGTTCTCGTCCTGCAACGCACCATCCTCTGTTGTGGGGGAAACGATAGCTGATCAACACGAGGGCGGGGATGTGGGTGAAGCTGGTGATAGTGATGGGGAGGATAGGGGGGATAGGGAGGAGCGGGAGGGCGGGGATGGAGATGGTGGATCAGAGGAGAGTCAAGAAGAGAGAGGTGGGGACGAAGTGAGATTAAGTGGAAGGGTAGGGAGAGAGGAGGAGGATAGTAGAGGGTTAGGCGGACCAGCTGAGGCGAGAGGTGAGGGTGGTACAAGCAAAAGTGACAGAATTGATGGTGATAATGGTGAGGGGGAGCGGGATAGATCCCAGGAGGATTCAGAAAAATGCGAGGATGATTCTGTGGAGGAGGCTGTAGAAGCGGACTGGGAGGACGGCAATGCAGTGGAGGGGGGAAGGGAGGGAGAGGGAAGGGAGGGAACGGGAGGGGTGGAAGGGGAGGAGCAGCAGCGGGTGGCACGAGTGTTAGTAGAGCTACAGGCGCTGGTGCTGGTGGGGAAGGATCTCACTGCCACTATGGAAGAGCTTCTAGTGCTGCTCGTGGCGTTGCTTGGAGGGGAGGATGGGAGGCGCGCAGGGTGGGATGGAGGTTTGGCAGGTGGATTGGGAGAGGAGGAGGCGGATGAGGGGCTTCAGGAGCTTCTTTGTTCTGATTGGTTCAAATCAACCGAGTACTTTACAGTGCGTCTTGATGCAGTCCTGTATAACATTTGCCGACTGAAACAAGTTAGCCTCTGTTTCAACTACTCATCCCCGCACCTAAGGAATCACGGTTGTTTTCCCCACCTACTCCTACCTACTGATGGGTAGGCTGCAAGGGCGCCTGTGCTCTTGGTAATCGAATCTGCACTTGATGCCAACCCTTCTCTGCTCGTTTTTGTGTTCTAACCCTTGGTACCCCTGTCTGCTAACCCCATCCATCTTGCTACCCTCTCAGCCGGCACTAGACGCGCTCGCAGCAGGGGCGGCTGTGCTCTTGGTGATTGACTCGGCACTTGCTGCCAACCCTGCTGTTGCCCGGGGGATTGCTGCTTACAACAGGTGTGTGGTAGGGTGTGTGGTGTGGTGTGTGGTGGGGTGTGTGGTGTGGTGTGTGGTGTGGTGTGTGTGGTGGGGGCATTCGCACACAGACGCTGATAATTCTTGACTTCTGTCATTGCCTTGGTCCATTCCTCACGTCCATTCTCTCTCCATGCATGCCCCATATCCACCACACCCCTCGGATGTATTTAATTGCCCATCATGCTCTATCCCTACTTCCATTCTGCCTGCCCCCTCCTGTTTTGTCCTCTCCTGTCCACTCCTCTCCGCTCTCCCTCACTCGTCTTCTTCCAACACCCGTTTCACCAACCAGAATGCTTCAGGCAGTGCGTTGTAACATGGAGGCGTATTCTGCGGTTCACGGCGGTGCAAAGCGGTACCAGAAAAAGGGAGGGAGAGGCAGCAGAGGTCAACGGGAAGCGTTCGAGTTGTCTCTAGCGGAGCTGCAGGGGCTGCTGATGATGCTGGAGGCAGCAATAGGGCCGCAAGGCGAACATGGAACCTTCTTCCAGGTAAGTTTCCCCCTTCCTTCTCCTTTTTTTTTCGACTCAATAGTCACCTCAGCTCAGATCTGCAGGGGCTGCTGATGATGCTGGAAGCAGCAGTAGGGCCTCAAGGCCAACAGGGAGCATTCTTCCAGGTAGGTTTTCCAACATTCCTTCTCCCTTTTGTTCTCCTCCCTATCTTCTTTCCTTTGTCTTCTGTCTAATATCCCACAATAACAAACCGTGCTTCTCCCAAAATCTCATCTGCAAGCTCCTCCATTATTCTCATTTTTTATCGCCACGTCCCATCCCAACTGCTTTTGAGTCGACTCAAAAGCCCTCCATTATCCTCAGTTTTGATCGTCGCCTCCCATCCCAATCGAACGTTTCACAGAGCTGGAAGGAGAGTGTAGCCCGGGCAGTGGGTCCTGCAGCACCTCCCCTCGCTGCTGCAGCAAAGGCTGGAAAAGGAGGAAAAGGGGGAAGGGGGAAGGCAAGTGCGGGGCGGCAGGTGCTGAGCGGGCGGGCGCTGTGGCGGCAGCAGCAGAAGTGGCTGCTGCCGCTGGTGACTCACTTGAACTCCTCTGCTGATTCTGCTCTTCATGCCATCGGTAAGCTCTTTTCTTTTGAGGCGCTTCAATAAATGCTGAGCGGGCGGGCGCTGTGGCGGCAGCAGCAGAGGTGGCTGCTGCCGCTGGTGGCTCACTTGAACGCCTCTGCTGATTCTGCTCTTCATGCCATTGGTGCGTTCTGTTTTGTCCAACTTTTAAGATGCCTCAAACGTTGCTGGTGGTGGCTCATCGCAACTCCTCTGCCAGCTTTGCACTCCATGCCATAAGTTCGTGCTCATTGTCATCCTTCCCCCATTCCTCCCCTTCCCCCTCTCCTTCCTTTTCCCATTCTTCCCTCCCATCCTCACCTGCCCACCACCATGTCAATGGCACTGCCAGGCAGCCACTCCGAGCAGCACAACACCCGTCGCCACTTAGCCGGATGCATCGCTCTCTTCCTCTCACTCGCACCCATAGCAGGTGAGGTGAGGTGACCCACTAGATTGGTTTTTTCTTTGGTGCCTTCTTAATCTGTTTCTTGTTTTCGTGTATTTGTTTCTATTCTCGTCTCTACTCAAGAATCGATACTCACCCTAATCATTCACCTTTTTTCGTTCTCGTGGCAGCATCGGGCTATGAGAAGCAACTCATAAAGGCCACCCCAAGCCTCTTCGAAGCAGTCAGGCTGCATCCTCTGTTACCTCTCGCCGGACCCCTCCCCCTCTCGGCCACTCTCCCCCCCCTCCTCGCCCTCCACCTGCCCCCTTCCCTGCTGGCGGTTTCCCCTGCGCCCTTCTCTGCCCTGGGGGAGGGGAAGGGTGGGGGGAAGGCGGGAGCGAAAGGGGCAGGCGGAAAGGGGGAGGTGAAAGCAGTGAAAGGGAGTGCAGAGGGGAGGGGGAACGGGGGAGAGAGTTCGCGTGGAGTGAGGGAGGTGTGTGAGGATGTATTGAGAAGAGCATTGGATCGGGCTAATGAAGACCTACCAAGGTGCGCATGGCAATGGTGCCTTCCTCCTATATTGTGCTAGGAGTGTCGTTCGGCCTTCCTGTTATATTTTTTGAGTCGACTCAAAAATCACCTCTGTGCCAATGTGTGCAAGGCGATTGTGCCTTCCTCTTAGATTGTGCCAGGAATGCTGTTCAGCATCCCTGTCCCATCCCAGCTGCCTCATTCCTTTCCTCCCCTAGCTGCCTCGCTCTCCGCAGCCCTCAGGCTCCCCCCTCAGACCTTATTAAGTAAATCTCTGTCAATATCTTCCCCTTCCTCCCATCTTCCACATCCCCACACTTCAGGCTCGCATCAGCCTTCCCTCCCCTGGCTGCCTCTCTGTCCGCAGCCCTCAGGCTCCCGCTCAGGCTGTCTTTGCAGTGCGATCTCCTGGAGGAGGCGGTAGGGAGTCAAGTGAAGCTGGTGCACCAGGTGGGGGGTTCTATATTGTGTACATTGCATGCAGGTGTGGTGTGGTGTGGTGTGGTGTGGGGTGGTGTGGGGTGGTGTGGGGTGGATGTGGGTGTGGGTGTGGGTGGGTGTGGGTGCGTGCGTGCAGTCTTAGCGTTCTCACTCACCTCCTAGTAGCAGTAGCAGCAGTAGTAGCAGTAGCAGCAGTAGTAGCAGTAGCAGCAGTAGTAGCAGTAGCAGCAGTAGTAGCAGTAGCAGCAGTAGTAGCAGTAGCAGCAGTAGTAGCAGTAGCAGCAGTAGTAGCAGTAGCAGCAGTAGTAGCAGTAGCAGCAGTAGTAGCAGTAGTAGCAGTAGCAGCAGTAGCAGCAGTAGCAGCAGTAGTAGCAGTAGTAGCAGTAGCAGCAGTAGTAGCAGAAGCAGCAGTAGCAGCAGTAGCAGCAGTAGTAGCAGTAGCAGCAGTAGTAGCAGTAGCAGCAGTAGTAGCAGTAGCAGCAGTAGTAGCAGTAGCAGCAGTAGCAGCAGTAGCAGCAGTAGTAGCAGTAGTAGCAGTAGCAGCAGTAGTAGCAGTAGCAGCAGTAGTAGCAGTAGCAGCAGTAGTAGCAGTAGCAGCAGTAGTAGCAGTAGCAGCAGTAGTAGCAGTAGCAGCAGTAGTAGCAGTAGCAGCAGTAGTAGCAGTAGCAGCAGTAGTAGCAGTAGCAGCAGTAGTAGCAGTAGCAGCAGTAGTAGCAGTAGCAGCAGTAGTAGCAGTAGCAGCAGTAGTAGCAGTAGCAGCAGCAAGAGCAGCAGCAGCAGTTTGGGCAGGGCGGCGCGACGCGGCGCGGCTCGGCAGGGCAAAGCGCAGCAGCGCGTGCAGCAGCAGCAGCTCTGGCGCAGCAGCAGCAGCAGCGCAGTGCGGGCTGCAGCAGCAGTTCAGGCGCAGCAGCGGCTCAGGCGCAGCAACGCAGCAGCAGCAGCGCGGTGGGCAGGAGCTGCACAGCAGCAGCAGCGTAGGCAGCAGCACAGCAGGCAGGAGGAGGCAGGGAGTCAAGCCGACATTTTCTATCCCACACCCTTCAAAGCAAGCATGTTACCTCCTCTCACCGCTGTCAGTCAGTCAGCCAGCTCACACCTACCGCTGTCACATGCCATGCGAGGTGGACTTGTTGTAAAAAAACAAGACTTACTTTCCTTTTTGTGTGTTACGTTATTTTGCAGACTCTTGCCGTCACATGCAACTCGAGGCATCAGGTCCAGACTCTGCTTGATCTGCACGCCAGCCTGCGGGTGAGTGAGCTTGACAACGCCAGTTGCTTGCCGCATCACGAGCAAAGTGTGCCACTGTTCAGAATTCAAAAACGAGATCTGTTTACCGACCAACACTAGGTGTGTAGTCTCCATGTCATGCGTCCCCTTCCTTGCACTTATCGGGACATTTTCAGCGTTGATTTTCCTGTGTTATGTTTTATGCCGTCGCCATGGCAGGTGTCTCTCAAGAGGCGTCAGATTGTGCTTGTCGCTGCAGTACTGCAAGCAATCAAGGTGATCTAGTCGTTCTACTCTAGTCCTGACGTGTGAATCTTGCATTCTGATACCAAAGAAACAAAAACGTTGAGCATGACAGCGCCTTTTTTTTGGGGGGAGGGGGGGCGGGCAAGGGGGGGGGTGGTATTTACTTGTCGTGTGCACTCCCATGGTTGTCCCCCCTTCTGCTTGTAAGATTGTTTTTCCTCATCTTCTTTCCCCCCCCCCCCCTTCCCCTCTCCCCCCTTCTTTCCTCCTCTGTTCTGCACCTGCTCCTCTCACTCACGCTAGCAAGTGGAGTCGGCTCTGGCAGCGTGCCTCCCCTCGCTCTCCCTCCACCTACCTCTGTACCAGCAGCACCTGCTGCGACAACTCAACGCAGCCTTGCTCCCTCTTCAGGTGCTTTCTGGGTCTTCTCAGGTGTTTTCCTCAGGTGCTTTTTGTTTCGATACGGGTTTTTGCAGCACTCCAATATCAACAACAGTCTGTGCTGCACTTCCCCTAGCCTCCTCTTTTCTTGAACGGTCCTTGCATTAATAAAGGGGTGGTACACAGGCAGTTTTTATGAGGCCATTCGTCACACTCCGAGCAGTTTTGATCAAGGGCCCCAATAGCAACATTAGTCTGTGCAGCACTTCCCCTAGCCTCCTCTTTTCTTTGTCTCAATTTTTTAGACGTCTCAAAAATCAACTTTCTACACGTGGCTTCTCTGTGCTGCACTTCCCCTAGCCTCCTCTTTTCTTTGTCTCAACCACTCCCTGGCGCAGTGCAATGCAAAAAAAATCAGACTGGTACTCACCCCCTGTCGAATCAGTCCATGCCAATTGATATAAAAGACTTACAACACTTACGTCCTCACCCCTCCAAGTACCTCTCTCCCCTGCTATTCCATTCCATGCCCCTTCGAACTCACCCTTCCAAATCCACTCTTTCTTATTGGAGGGAAGCCCCAAAACCATGTCACCCCTGCTCAAAACCATGTCACCCCTGCTCAAAACCATGTCACCCCTGCTCAAAACCATGTCACCCCTGCTCAAAACCATGTCACCCCTGCTCAAAACCATGTCACCCCTGCTCAAAACCACCAGATGGATCAGCTGGCGAAGCTACCCCGGCCATCTCCCTTGCAAGCACATCCAACTACAGGAGATGTGGAAGGAGGGAGCGAGGCGATGGGGGGAGGAGGGGGTGGGATAGAGGGCGAGGTAGCAGGTCAGCCCTCATCGTCGTCGGTTGCTGCTCTGCTTGCTTCAGCACCCCCGCCTGCTGGCTCCCTCTTCCCTTGGAGCAACAAGGGTGAGTGAAGGGCTGCATGGCATGCCATGCCAGCCATATACTTGCCATGCCATACGGGCCACGCACGCACAGCATACGCACCTTGGCATGCATGCCATGCCATGACATATCCTTTGTGGCGAATCAGAACAAGAACGCCTTAGCCATGCTCAGAGGCATTTGGTGCCGCTTATTGTGCTGTTTGTTTTGCCGGTTGTTGTTCTGTTTTTGTGCAACAACACACTGATTCATCAGCCCACATGTGCCGCCACTATGCTGCTGTGCTCCTGCAGCTGCCATGGATAACCACAAGAAGCTCGTCAACTCCATTGCCACTGTAAGCCCCTTGCTTGTCACCCCTTCCTGTCTCTCACCCTTCGTGTCACCCTTTCCTGTCTCCCCTTTGTGTCACCCCTTCCTATCACCCCCGCCCCACCACCCCACTGCACCCCACCCAACACCCCTTGCATATCTTGTCTTTCTGTAACCTCCCTCCTACCCCCCCAACCCCAACACTGCTCCTCTCCTACCATTTCAACCCCACCTTCCCCACTGCTTTCTTGCCCTTCCAATCCTCATGCCCCATGCCCGTCGAGCAGTCCTTATCATTAAATGTTTTACATGGTACGCCCCTTGCCCGTGCCTGCCTCTCTCTCTTGTTGCATGTCACACTGTCACCCCTCTCACCATCCCTACCCTCTAGTTCACCAGCATGCTTCAGCTGACGTGGCATCAGCTGCCGTCAGATCGCCTCCTCTCCTTCCTCTCGACTGCTTGCGCCCTCATCCCTCCCATTGTAAGCCCTTTTGTAAGCCTTTCCTGGTAAACCTCCTCTTTCTGTAGTAAGAAACTGGTTGACCCTCTTCACACATTCATCACCACGTCAACCGTTTCCAACTTTTGCCTTTTCCCTCCAGTCCCTTGCTCCAGCATTCACTCGTTTCAAAAGGACGTATCGCCACTTCCAGTTTTTTCTCCATCCTCTTGCTTCGACCACATCACCTCTTCCGGATTCTTTCCTTCCTTCCCTCTTCCAACCCCCCTCTTCCCCGCCCGTCCCCCTCCCTTTCACCACCACCTTGCTCCCACCAATTCCGCGTGTCAATTCCCTTCCCCCCATCACCCCCCTCCCCTCCTTGCATTTGCAGGTCGCTCCCATTCCCTCCTGCCAGCCCCTACTCGCTCAGCTCCACTTCTCCACACTCCTCCCCTCCCTCTCATCCTCCTCACCCTCCTCCGCTTCCTCCACCACCACCACTGCCTGTTTCTTCCTCTCCTCGCGGGCTCATCTCCTCGCGCCTGCGCTTGCTGCTCTCTACTCTCAGCCGCTCATCCAACCCAACTCGCTCCAGTAATCTCCCTTCTCCTGAGACCCCATTCCACCATGTTCTTCCACCATGTTCTTCCACCATGTTCTTCAGTGCTATTTGCAGAGGCATCTCCCACCCATACTGCCACTACGTGCATCTCCCTGCCTGCACACTGCCTCACTGAATTTCCATCCCACCCATCCTACCCATCCTACCCATCCTGCCCATCCTACTGCTGTGAACAAACCTCTCAGGTACCTGATAGACGCCTTCTTGGATGGGGCTCGGTTGCTCCTGCAGCCGCACACGCAGGACCGGCACAGCAAGCAGTCGAAAGAGCACACGGGGAGAAGAAGCAGCAGCCGGAGCGTCTTGTGGGGCGACATTTACAGTGTGGAGAATCAACTGGAGGCTGCATTGGTTCAGGTGAGTGGGAGTCTTCACAGCCAGAATCATCAAGAAGCCATGCATTGGTTCAGCTTCAAAGGCGAGCCGCCAAAAGAGTGGCAACTAGGCCATGCATCCTGTGAGCGATTTTTGAGAATTCTCAAAAATCCCAGTCAGTCTTCCAGTCGCTACTTGACTGGCCCTCCCTTTCCCCCTCCCACTTGCCCCACCTCAACCCATCATCCCCTTGGTAGCCCCTCCCCCAGCCGCTCACTCAACAGTCCCTCTCTTTCTCCTCTCCCACTTGCACCACCCCCCCCTGCCATCCTGTCTGCAGTCATTCCAGTGGCCGCTCACTCGAGACGGTCATCGCGGACCTCCATCTACATGCCATCTCATCCCCTCCTCCCCCATCTCTTCCCCTCCCGCACCACCCTTTCCCCCTCCATCCCAAATGCAGTCATTCCAGTGGCCGCTCACTCGAGACGTCATTGCAGACCTCCATCTGCATGCCATCTCCCACTCCGATCTGCACTCCTCCAATCCGCGCTTCAACCCCCGCAAGGTACCCTCCTTCCCCCCACCACACGTTAAGTGCCCTCTTTTGAAGCATCATTGAAAGCCTCCATCTGCACGCAGACCTCCATCTGCATGCCATCTCCCACTCCGATCTGCACTCCTCCAATCCGCGCTTCAACCCCCGCAAGGTACAACATGTCATCAGCCCCTTCGACCATCACACATCTTCAGTCGACTCAAAAGTCACTTCTTGGACCATCACACATCTCAAATCTTCTTGCATTCCCCACTCACACTCACTCTCAAGTGGACTTTTTCTTTTAGACTTCCCAGAACCCACTCACTGTTTTCCAAGTTATCTCAAGCCGCACTTTCACTTTTATCCTCTAGTTTCCACTGTGTGTTAGAATCCTATGTCTAGCATGCTAAGTATAAAGGGGTTGGGGCTACACCCAACTTTGGGTGTAGCTTGCTTTGTAGGCCTACACCCAACATTGGGGTGTAGACTTACAAGTTGGGGTGCCAATCCAACCCATAAGTGTTGGAGCCCGCAAGTGCAAGTTGGGTACCCCCTCTTTGCAACCCACAAGTTGGGTGCCCCCTCCTTGCAACCCACATGGTCCTTGTTGCAAGCTGGGTGCCCCTTCCTTGCAAGTTGGCATAGGGACTTGCCAACCACCCAACTCCCCCTTTCCCTTCCAAGCTTCTCTTGCATCCAATCTCACTATCCTATGTATGCACTCTTGTGCCCTAATCTAATCAATGGTTCAGTTTACAACTTTCACACTGTGTCCCCAACCCCTCACCACCCCTGCAAGCAGACAGGGGTGCGCAACCTGCTGCAGTTCCTGCAGCTGCCGCCCATCCGCCTGCTCTCCAGCCAGGTTGACATACAAGCACACGTGGCACAAGCACTGGCAGCCTCCCTCTATAATCACACTGCAGCCACTCCTGCCAACTGGAAGGTCCGTATGCTTGGCGCTTGCCAATTTGATATTCGACTATTGGCATATACAATCCTTGATTGCTTCTGTCTCCCCAACCTGCCTCTCCTTTTCCTTGCTTCAATCTTAGCAGTTATTTGCACTGGGGGCTGTCTGATTTGTTCAAAATCCCTTCACCTTGTGACTCCATAATCAATCAACCAAGCACATTGGTATTGTTTGGGTCCTTTTCCTCTCTCCCCTGGTGCCGGTTACCATTGCCAGCTAGGCGAGGACGTGAGACAGCTAGCGGCCAGCAAATATCGGCTGCTTCTGCCGCCGATTGCCATAGGAGGAGGCCTGGCATTCAGACTCCACAGCGCCCCTACTCCCTCCTCCACCTCCTCCCCCGCCCTTCCCTTCTCACTCCTCCACCCTCCCTCACTCGCTGCCAATCTCCCGTTCTTCGTCTCTGCGTTCTCGTTCGACCTTTCCACTTTAACCTTCCACCAACGGCCCTCCTCCCTAGCCAGATTCCACGAACCTTCCTCACCCATCCCTTCCACCCGCCATGCTGACTCATCATCACCGTTCTCCTCGGCGCACGGGCCTCGGTCGCTCACGCTGCGCCAGCTGTTCGGTCTCCTCCAATCCACGCACGCCATGCTGTTTCTCCAGCACGCCGCCACGTCAGCGTGCAAGCTGATTGCGGGGAAGCTGTCTCACCTGTCTCGGTTGTTCCTGCATGACAGAGCACACTCGCTGCTGCTGCAGGCTTTGAAGCAAATACAGCAGCAGCAGCAGCAGCAGCGAGAACATCAGCAGCTGGAAAGTCAAGCGAATGTTCAAGCTAATCCTGCTAGCACTGCTGCGGCTGCTGCTGGTGGTAAAGGTGCTGCTGGTGCTGCTGGTGGCACTGCTGTGGGTGGCGGTGGTGGCTCTACTCCAGTTGCTGCTGCTGGCAGGGCGTTGACAATGGAGGCGGTAGACGAGCTCAAGAATGTGAGCATCCCAGCCTCCTCACTCTGTTTCTTCCCGCATTAGATTCCTTTAGCGATGCGAGCATCTACTTTGCACCACTCCTTCTCACGGTTCCACCATTTTCAAATCAACTAACAGTTGCTTCCGAGCATTTGACTTGCACCACCCCAACTAGCATTTGCGTGTGGGTGTGTGAGCGAGTGAGGGAGCATGTGTGTGTGTGTGTGCACCCCATCTTTTCACCCCCTCCTCCCCCTTCTCTCTAAACTGCCTCTGCTCTGCCCCTCTCACCTCCAACAGAAACTCCAGGAGATTTCAGTGGACCCTGATTGGCGGGCACCCAAGCCTGCCCCGGATGCCAAACCCCAGCATACATCTGCTGCCCCTGCATCAGCATCAGCAGCATCTTCAGCAACTGTACCGCCTGTAGCAGATGCAGCAAAGGGGGTTGCAGGGAAGGGGAAAGACGAGAAGAGAGGAAGAGTAGGAGGAGGAGGGGCAGAGAGGAGGCCCTGGGGGGAGGTGGTGGTGGAAGAGGTGAGGGAGATGGGAGTGGCGCTGGGGTTTGTGCTGGCTGCTGCTACAGCTGCATCCCACAGTGCAGAGCACACTCTCAGGTGAGAGCAGCAAAAAGGATTCATGTTCGAATGATCTTAGCAGAGTGATTGCTTGCTTGTAATGGAAACTGCTGTCAAAAACTGCATCTCCTGATCCTTTTGCATCTGTTCACCTTTTGAGATTCACAACTGATATTAATGAGCGCATACTCAAACCCCAAATTGATTCTTGAGTCAACACGCTCTCAGCAGCAAAGGAGATGCATCCGTCACACAGCAAAGGGTCTGTAACCCTGACTTCGTTTTCTTCTCTTGAGGCGCCTCAAAAGGGTCTGTAACCCTGACTTATTTTTCTTCTCTTGTCTCCTCCTTCCCCATCCCTCTTTCTCCCAGTGCCCTTCCCTCACACGCTGCAGGATCACCCCTCCATCGCCTCCTGCTCGCCTCGCCTCTCTCCCACCAGTCGCTCCTCCTCCTCTCCTCGCTCTCCAACTCCCTCCGCGCAGCCGCACACACTCAGCCCGTGCCGCTGCTCCATCTGCTTGTGAACCTCTTTCAAAGGGTACGCACCCATTGTTTAGACGATTCAATTTGTGAGTTTACTCAAATATCGCCCAGCAGCGCACACTCACCCCGTGCCTCTGCTCCATCTGCTTGTGTACCTCTTCCCAATGGCAAGCACCCAATTATTAGCTTACTCAAGTTGTGAATCGACTAAAAAAATGCCCAGCAGCGCACACCCACCCCGTGCCACTGCTCCATCTGCTCGTGAACCTCTTCCAAAAGGCAAGCACCCTTGCAGTACCACCATTGGCTTATTCACTTGCGCAAATTTCCGTTCTCCCCCTACTCTCTTCTTCTGCCACCCTGCTCGGTTTCTCACTGTCATGCTGGTTACACGTCTTCCCTCTGCTGTTTCCTCTCGTTTTGAGACGTCTAGTTTTGAGACGTCTCAAAACTAGGTTACGCGTCTTCCCTCTGCTGTCTCCTCTCGCTCGCCCCCCACCCTCCCCATCCCGATGCCATCCTTCTCTCCATCACTCGCCCTTCCCTCTCTCCCAGTCCCCCTTTCTCCAGATCTTCACCAGCTTCTTTCTCCAGCCTCGTCTTGTCCCCTCCGGCCCCCCTCGCCGCTTCTTTTTCCCACTTCCTTCCCATCCCCCCTCTCAGGAGCTTCAAGCCTCGCCTCATCGCCCTTTCCTCACGCTCCCTGTCGCCATTCCCCCGCTCTCCCTGTTGCTGGCTTCCAAGAAACAACTAGCACAGCAGAGATTAGCAGATGCAGTGGCGGGGGGTGGCAGGGACGGCCGAGTGGGGGGAGGTAGGGTTGGTGGCGATCCTGGTGGGAGTGAGGGAGGGCGAGGATGGGAGAGAGGAGGAGAGGGTGAGGGGGGAGCATGGGAGGCACAAGATGACGACTGGCTGCCTGATGATGGATTCACACTGGGAGTTGCGTTTCTGCTCACGGTAAGAAGCTTTTCCTACTCATGGTGCAAATTTTGAGTCGACTAGAAAATCGGGAGCATGGGAGGCACAAGATGACGACTGGCTGCCTGATGATGGATTTACTCTGGGAGTGGCTTTCCTGCTCACGGTACGTTACCAGCTCTTGTGAATCTCTTTCTGCTCACAGTCTTTTTTACAGAAAAGGAAATGGGTTATGCTCGGAGGCTGCTGAGATGTGTGGTCTGAGGGTGCGATGCAAGATGATGGTGCCAAGTGGTCTGAGGGTGCGATGCAAGATGATGGTGCCAAGTGGTCTGAGGGTGCGATGCAAGATGATGGTGCCAAGTGGTCTGAGGGTGCGATGCAAGATGATGGTGCCAAGTGGTCTGAGGGTGCGATGCAAGATGATGGTGCCAAGTGGTTTGAGGTGCGATGCAAGATGATGGTGCCAAGTGGTCTAGGGTGCGATGCAAGATGATGGTGCCAAGTGGTCTGAGGGTGCGATGCAAGATGATGGTGCCAAGTGGTCTGAGGGTGCGATGCAAGATGATGGTGCCAAGTGGTCTGAGGGTGCGATGCAAGATGATGGTGCCAAGTGGTCTGAGGGTGCGATGCAAGATGATGGTGTCAAGTGGTCTTTTAAAAATTCTTGCAACAGCTGTAGAGATGTTTGGTATGAGGGTGCGACGCGAGGTGATGTCGTTGAGTGGCTAGTATGAGCCTATGCGGGTGTGATGTGTAATTGGTGTAAAGTGAGTGGTCCCCTTCGCCTGCTGTACGAACTCATTGCTCCATCTCCTGCGTTTGTCCATGCTTCCAGGTGGCCAATCAGCGCCTTGCCTTTGACTCCGTGTACTGGTTCGGTTCTCTCTCGCCCTGCACCACCTCTCCTTCCAACTCCAAGTGCCCACATGAACTCCCTGCGCCATTCCTTGTGTTTGTCGTCTGATTGGATTCTCTCTCCCTCCATTCCATCTGTGCCTCTCTCTCTCTCCCTACAGGTGGCCAATCAGCGCCTTGCCTTTGACTCCATCGACTGGTTCTCTCTCGCCCTGCACCACCTCTCCTTCCAACGCCAAGCCATGCCGTCGAATCCTCCTTCCACTCTCACTTCTGCTGCTGCTAGCAGTGACGGCGGCGGTGGTGGTAGTGGTACTGGTGGTGCTGCTGCTGGTGCTACTGGTGCTGTGAGTGGTAAATCAGGAGGCGGAGGAGCAGCTGCAGGGGAGGATGACGAGGGGGAGGATGGGGACGGCACTGGAGGTGCTGGAGGAGGGGTGACTTCCCTCTGGTCTTCCTGGTTCGGAGCCACTGCTGCTGCCGAACCTGCAGCTTCGCAGCCGGAGCTATCCCCCGAGCTGACCCACCAGCTTCGGCAGGTTTGTTCCCTTCAGCTTTTTCCTGACCCACAACCTGACCCGTCGTTCTGTCATCTTAAAGCAAGGATGGACATCCGTCTTGGTTTGGCAGAGGTTCATCACCTGCCAGCTGAGTTTGTCAGTGCAAACTGTTGGTCCACCTTGCGCACGTCATTTCTTTTCGATCCGTCTTCATTGAAAATCTGCCCCACCCCAGCCCAGCCGAGCTGAATCACCCTCGCTGTAACACACTTTCGTCCCGTTGACTTTCCCTGTCTCGATTTCTCATGGCAGAGGGAGCGAATGCTGGCAGGTATGGCCGAGCAGCTGAGCCTGATGAATGTGGTATCCATTGCTGCTCTTCGGCTGTTTGGCTCTAGCCCAGCCACCACCACACAGTGATACCAGCTCATCTACCACTACCACACTCTGGCACTCTGCTGTGGTGCTGCAGGAGTTGCTGCTTATTGGTGTTACTGGCTAGGTTTTTTAGTCATGGTGACACCCAGGGCCTATTTTATCAGTGTAATTTAGGGCCTGCACTGATGTGTTTGGGTAATTTTTTGGCGGATTAGTGTTACACTGATGTGTCAGTGTAACGATTTAGGCCACACTGATGCTCTGGGGTAATATTTCCCTTAGCGAAGATTACCCTGAAGAGCGTATAGGGAACCCCCCCCCCCCCCCCCCCCCCCCCCCCCCCCCCCCCCCCTTCCTGGAACTCGACCTATCGATACGAAGGTTCCTGGAATTTTCGTCCCGATACAACAAATTTCGTAATGATGCACTACCGTCTAACCCGGGATATAAGCGCCACGACGCTTATAATAAAACCGTTTTTTTAGGGGTGGCGCTTGTAATTGAATAACGGCCATAAGCGCCGGCGCTTATATAATGGCAATTAAAAAATTATACTCTTAGGGTACCAAATTGTATATTTCATTGTTGCCATTTCAACCGAGTCGAAACAATTTTGCATCATAAAGCAGAATCGAGCGGAAACGATTCTGCTTCCTCCACACGGACAAAGTCACGTCACCTTGCAGGCATGCCAGCACATCCTGACTGGACGCGCAGCCAGTCAGGTCTTCGCGAGTCAAACGACTCGAAATTGAAATAGGACTCGCTGCAAAAAAGAAACTCGTTACCGATTTAAACAGTATTTTAAATGAAAATTGTAAGGGCGCTTATAATAAGTAAAGGTTTTCCAGGGGGGGCGCTTATAATCGAATTCCGGCCATAAGCGCCATGCTCCAGATAGAGGCGCCAGCGCCTATAATCGGACGGCGCCTATATCCGGGGCGATACGGTACAACACCAGCACGTGAGTACTGACAACCAGGGTCGCGTCAGTTTTTTTTTACCAAGGCCTGTCTGACCAATCAAAGCACAAACTCTCGTTTCTTGTTACAACAAGTGGGACCGACAAGTAGATTCATTCTTGACCTGCCACGCCAAATTCCTCCAGCAAGACCAATTCGACTTGTCAGTGCATGTTCAACCTATCACAGAAGAGATCATGCAGATTCGACCTATCACAGTAGAGAAATATGCAAATTCGATTTTTCACGGCAGAGATTCGTCTGTCACAGAAGATTCTATCGCAAATCACCCTGGACTAGCATGTTTCGGTTTCAGATGGAACACACAACTGCCTATATTACAATCAGGGTAAAAATAATACTTACACTGATGCCTCTGGGTAAATTTTTCAAAACTTCAAGTTACACTGATCCATAAGTGTAACCAAAAAGGGCACACTGCTCAGAAGGGTTTTGAAAATGGCTACACTGCTAATCATGAGTAGCCAAAATCCAAAGATATGCCCTGGGTGACACCAACCACACTGGCATGGTGATGTGGCGCTGTAGGAGTTACTGAGCAGTGTTACTGGCTGAATGTGGACTGTATAAAACATACCGGTACCGTCTATTCCCGGATGTAAGACCCTCCGGAATAAAAGTCCCATGGGACTTATATGCGGGGGGGTGTACACTTAATATGGTCTAAGATCCCCCCCGTTGGTGTAGACTGCAGTTTTCAGTGCTTTTCAACATTCGCGAATCAGTTTTTAGGTTGATAAAGGAAAATTCTGATGCGGTCAATGCGTCAGACTCGAAATCTGACGCATTGACCGTGTCAGATCGAAGGTTTGACTGGGTACTTTCGCGATTGCTTTTTAGTTAAGGCTCGATTCTGGTAGAAAAAACCTTTTGTATAGAAAAAAACGGCCCCTTATGAGTAAAATAGATGTTTGGGAGTCTTATCTATATCCAGCCACCACGATGTTCACCCACCCATTTTTTATTGAATTTTTATAAAGTCTCCCGTGTCTTATATCCGGGAATAGACGGTATTAGTACCGTATAACAGTACCATACATGGATACGCATTTGTACAGATTCACTGATGCATGCATTCACTTGCTGGATTTCAGAATCTAAGCCAGGTCAAAAGCATCAACTCGAACCAGCTTTTGTTCCTCTGGGTCCTCCCCTCCTGATGCGCTGCCGCCAAACCCTCTTCTCCTGGTCTCATAGCCCCCCGCTTGACTGGAACCAGACTCCGTCCGCCGCCAGACTCTCGTACAAATTCGCCAACACATGCATTCCATTCACTTGCTGGATTTCAAAATCGAAGCCAAGTCGAAAGCATCAACTCGAACCAGCTTTCTCTCCTCCGGGTCCTCCCCTCCAAAGGCACTCCCTCCAGACCCTCCATACCCTCTAGACTCTCCAGACGCTCTTGTCGTGGCGCCATTGCCCTCACGCTCATCCGCTTGACAGGAACCGGAATCGGCCTCCAGAAGCTCTCTTAGCTGGTCAGCCACTGATGCTCCTCTTGTGTCCTCGTCCAGCCTGCACGTGCCAACACAGGGGTGGGTGGGTGGGTCCGCTCATCATCCAACTCCTGGTACGGCTAATACTGGTCACATCACAGCTGGATGGGCTATCTGGTCACAGGCAACTGTCACACAAGTAGAGCCACAACCTGCGACTGAGAAGAGAAGGCCCAAGGAACAGGGCATGCCACGTGGAACAGGGCATGCCACGTGGAACAGGGCATGCCACGTGGAACAGGGCATGCCACGTGGAACAGGTCTATGCTCTTTCTGATCAAAACCTGTCAAACCAGGATTGTAAGAAGCAAGCGTCTAGGGGGTCCAGTTCAGTTCAGCGCACGCACCTGTCGAAGAAGTTTGGCGCAGAAGCAGAAGCAGCATCACCCGAAGCTGATTTCCTGTGCCACGGCCTGTGGGGCTCCTCTTGGCCATGCAGGCCCCTCCTGCTCCACGCCAAGTGCGGCTGCTGCCTGCCCTCCACTCCCACCATCCGCAGCTGTCGCACTGTCTCTGCATTGCTCCTCCAGCTCCTCCCCCCCCTGGTAAACCCAGACGCCCTTTGAGGTGCTTCAAGAGTCGCTGTCGCTGCTGCCTGCAGCTGCCTCGCTGTCTCGGCGCTGCTTCTCCAGCTCCTGCCGCTTCTGTTAGGCCCAGGCCCAGAGCTCTGCTGCTTGCTGCTGTGCGAGCCTGAATCTGCCCCAGAACCTCGAACCAAACTTCCAGCATGCATCTGTTGGGAAAGAGTGACGGGGCTCTGCTGCTCAGGCCCAAGCGGGAAGGCCCGTGGAGAGATGATGCTGCTCTGCTGCTGCTGCTGTTGCTGCAGCTGCTGCTGCTCGGAGCTGCCACGGAGGGACAGCTGTAAGGGTGAGTGGTCATCGGGTAATCGAGCGAGGCGCTGACGTGGCGAGATGCGATTGGCGGTGTGGATTCGATTCACGTCTTCAGCAGAGGAGGTTCTGCGGTGCTGCTGCTGCTGCTGCTGCTGCTGCCACTGCTGACTCTGCCGCGCTCTCCCTCCTGCTTTTCTCAGGTCTTGGCTCGACGCAGTAAACTCGAAAGCTGCCCTGTTCTTCCCAGGAGAGAGGAGGATAGGACCACGGGAGGAGGAGGAGGAGCCTCCTCTTCGCCCGCTTAGTCCTGCCACTTGTGCTGCTGCGATTGGTGCTGCTGCTGCATGTGGTGGTGCTGCGGATTGTGCTGCTGTGTATGGGTTTCCTGCCATGTTCCTGTCCTTGCTCCACTGCTGCCCCCTGTTGTACTTATCAACAAGGGTGTTGACGGTCTGGTGAAGCGACAGCAGCCCCTTCTGCGAACCGGACACCACCGATTTGCTCAGCGTTGTCACCGCTCGGAACCCCGTGTTAGCCCCCATGCTCTTGCTCAGCGACTTGATTCCCGCGTCAACTCGCGCACCCCTGCCAGGGGATTTTAACCCGGATTCGGTGCGCACAGAAGCAAGGGAAGAGGCTGACCCGGGGTCAGTGCTCAGGGATTTCTCTGCAGCTGGTGCTGCAGAGGCACGAGAAGAGGCTGATGCTGAGAGGAGCGACGACAGCACAGGGAGGAGCGAAGCAGAAGCAGAGTCAGACTCCTTGAGGGCCAGTCCCCTGTGCCTATCCCCCTGAGCTAATCCCCCGCTCTCATCTTTATCCCCATTTCCATCCCAATCCACCCCTTCTGCCTTGTGCTCTACTTTATTCAAGAGGTTCGGTGGCCTGGATGACAGGTTCGGTAGTCTGGGCGATAGGTTCGGTGGTCCGGGAGACAGGCTCGGAGAGCTGGGTGAGTGCGGTGGTCTGGGTGACAGGTCTGGTGGCCTAGGTGACAGATTCTGTGATCTGGGGGACAGGTCTGGTGGCAATCTGGGGGACTTGGACTGAAAGCGCTTTGATGGCAATCGGTCGGGCATGCCAAGTGGGGGACGGTGGGAAACCGGGGAGGCGTGTCGCCTGGTGGGTGATGGCTGCTGGTGGGGCAGGTGCAGCTGAACTGGCGTTTGAGAAGTCTCATTGGTCAATCCGTGTCGCCTGGTGGGTGATGGCTGCTGGTGGGGCAGGTGCAGCTGACTTAACGCCTCTGCTCGCGTCTCCTGGAGGCTGGACGATGCGGTAACCGTTACTGCTGCTCGGTTGAAAGTTGCGCTGACATGGTTCCCTCCTTGCTGTTGTGGCGACTCATGGTTCGGTGCTGACGTGCTGTTGTTTCGGTTTGGGACGAGGTGGGCGGGTGGGGAAGGCAGGCGGGTGGGAACAAGGGGGTGTGAGTGTGGGCCGAGGCAGAGGGCGGATTGAGAAGCTGATATTGGGTGGGGGTTTGGAGGAGAGGAGAGGTGTTGCAATTGGTGTTGCGAGGCAGGGGACAGAGGGTTTGCGTGGGGGAGTGAGGAAGGAAGTGAGGGTGGGAGTGTGGGGAGATGTTGGAGGGGGAACGAGGGGAGAGAGGGGGAAGGGAGTTAGGAAGAGAGGGAGTGCGGCGGTGTTGCGTTGTTCGTCTGTTGCGGGCCATCTGGTACTGCCACCTGTCAGTTCGAGGGGAAGTGAGGGCGCTAGAAGACGAAGTATGCTGGCCGAAAGTATCCACAGGGGATGCTGCTGTTGCTGCAACGGCTACAGTGACAGCAGCACCACTAGCAGCACCAACGACAGCAGCAACAGCAGCAGCACCAGTGACTGAAGGACCAGCAGCGGCACGCGTAACAGCAGCACGAGTGACTGGAGCACCAGCAGCAGCACCACCACTAGCAGGAGCAAGAGCAGGGGTACTAGTGGCAGATGCAGCACCACCCGTGCCAGTTACTGCAGCAGCAGCAGTTAATTTCCCCTGTCTATGATCAGACATCTCTGCACTTCCCTCGCTTTCACACAACCTTGGGAGCGTTTTGTACCGACGCACACGAACCTCCTCGTTGCCCTCGGATTCTGACCCGCTATAAGCATCTGCACTACCGTACAATAGTCTAGCTGCAGCAGAGAGTGTTCGCTGAATGGTAAGTCTCCGGCCACTGCCAAACCTCTCGCCTTGGCTGCTGCTCCTGCTGCCGGGCCTGCTTCCGGACCTACTTCCGGGCCTGCTTCCGTTCCTGCTTCCAGACCGACTTCCCGGCCTGCTTCCGTTCCTGCTACCGGGCCTGCTTCCGGGCCTGGTACCGTGCCTACTACTGGGTCTGCTGTGTCCATCCCCATAAACAACAGCCTCTCCAAGCAATCCCATCAGTTGCTCATCCTCCTCCCCCTCCCCTTCCTCCTCATCATCCTCATCCTCATCCTCCTCGCCATCCTCTCTTATCTCAGACACTCTCATCTCTTTCCCCCGCCTCTCCTCCTTCTCCTTCTCCTTCTCCTTCTCTCGTCTCTCAACCCCTCTCAAAATTGTGCTCTTCTCAAACTCGTCCTCATCCTCCTCCTCTTCCTCCTCCGCCTCTTCGCCCTCCTCAGCAACCTGTGTCAAGCTTGACCCACCCACAGCAGCATGAGCGCCACTGCACCCACTGCTGCCGATCGACCCGCCAATGCTGCTCTGAAGCCCCCCCACCCTTCTACTGCCACCCCCGCCAAAACTACTGCCACTGCTGTCAAAACCACCCCCACCAATTCCACTCTGTCCCATCTCAAAACCCCCACTGCTGCTTCCTTTGCAGTGAAGAAGACTTGTTTGAGGCGCCTCAAAACTTTCTCCACTGCTGCAGCTGCTCCTGCGACTGAGAGGAGCAGTTTGACCAAACACAAAGAGGTCTTCCCTTCCCAAATGCTCCCCACCCCAGTTGCTACCTCCCTCCCACTCATGCCCTCTCAATGCCACTCCCGCAGCTGGAGCTGCCAATCCCGACTCGGCACCATGTGGGCCGTCAGATCCTGTGTGCACCGGATGATAATCAAACATGAGCCGTTGGATCTCAGCTTGGTTCTGAGCGTCCTGTAGGCGAGCAGCCTCTCTGCAGCAGGGCAGTGAAAGAAAGAAAGGGAGCGGGGTTTTCAAAAGGTGGGTGCAGGGGGTCGTGTGCATAAGATACGGCAATTTTCAACGGACGGCCGTGTTTGAAGAATGGGGTAGTGTGGGTGGAGGGGGTAGTGTGAATAAAATATGGCCGTATTCAAAGGACGGCCGTGTTTGAAGAATGGGGTAGTGCGCATGAAGGACGGCCTCATTTGAGGTGATTTTTTAGGCGCCTCAAAAATCACCTCAATGCTCATGGGCGGAGGGGGTAGTGTGAATAAAATGCGGCTGTATTCAAGGGACGGCTGTGTTTGAAGAATGGGGTAGTGTGCATGAAGGACGGCCGCAATTGAAGGACGGGGATTGGTTGGATCACCGTGCATGTTTGGATAGAGCGAGGGGCTTGGCCATACCTGCTGGCTCGGTAGCCGCGGTGGATAAGCAGCAGCACGTAGAGCAGGCAGCAGCCAAGTGAGACGGTGCCAAAGATGATATACAGCCCGAGGAACTTCTGCATCGAGAGCTGCACTGCCGAGTCTGCCGCCAGTGAGGAGATCCCGGAAGAGGAGGAGGAGGATATACCGTAGCTGCTGCTGTCACTGCTGCTGCTGGGTTGGGTGCAGGAGCCGTTGATCCCACTGAAGTGTTGCTCCCGCAGCTGCTGCAGCTTGCCTGACATGGACAGTTGCACGATCGCCTGTGATATGTCTAGACCCAGCTGAGAGCCCTTGGGGAAGGCCTGGCAAGATTGGTTGATCCTCCCATGTACAACCCACACCACACAAGCATAGCCTTGCACAACCACCTATCCGCCGCCCACCATACTTCTATAACGCCAGAAGTACGGCACCTAGCACTGAACGGCATACCGCGGGGATGCCCATCTGCTGCAGGTACGCATTGATGAATGACCCCAGCTGGTAGCCAATGGGGGATGAGGTCGAGGCGGCGGAACCAATGTCCTGGTGGGACCGTGTGGGATGCGGTGGGATGGGATGAGGCAGGCTTCGAAAGGTCTCAAAACCCATAATGGAATAAGCACGTCATGCAACAGCACATCATGGGATCATGAGCACACGACGGGTGGACTGTGGAGGAATAGAGTCGTATGAGACTGAAAGGCAATCCTGGCTCTCTGAAGGCAAGATAGATAGGTTATTGCATATATACTATAACATATGTATATAGTATCTACATATGTATATATGTATATACATATATATATATATATATATATAACAGACTTGTTGGTTTCACCCAAACCACACTATTGAAATGCTGGACCGACTTAGGCACGCACAGTTGGGTTACGCAAAACTTACCAGGTCGCTTTTCAGAATTAAAAAAAATGACCTGTAAAAACTTACCATTGCGGAGGGTTTGAGCCGGTTGACTGTGACAATAGACGTGAGGTTCGCCGTGTACATTGTGACTATAAGGTAGCCGATGATGAGAAACACGATGACAAAGAGCCGGGCGAGGGAGGTGCGAACAGGGTACTCTGCCGTGACAATCACGAGTGGGGGCAGTGGCAGTGGATCGAGAGAGATATTCTGAGAATTCTCAAAAGTGGCTTCCAAATGGGGTGCTCTGCCGTGACAATGTGTTTTGAGTCGACTCGAAACACGTGCCGTGACAACAATACCGATGGCAGTGGAGCGAGAGATATAAGAGCAAGAAAGCCATTCGCTTGGTCATCAGAACCACCGAGTCGATGGAATGGTGAGGACTGGGATGGGACACATAAAGACAAGCTGCTTCTGAGCGTCCCTAAGCTGGTTGCGGGTTAACCAAGTCACGCTGTTCCAAGTGGGGAGAGCTGGGCCGGGCAGGTCAAGAAGGAGAAGCCACACAACCATGATGGAAGGTTTGCAGGCAAAAGAAACTTCCAAGCACCACCAAATAACTCTGGAAGGAACAACGAGGAGATGTGGATGGGGAAGAGAGACACTCACCCAGGATGGCATAGAGCGTTTGCAGGCCGAACCTGCAGGTTAAGCCTAGCTTCCCTACTGCTGCTCCCTGAGAATTATGTCTGAAGATCGCGTGGGGAAGAGAGACACTCACCCAGGATGGCGTAGAGCGTTTGCAGGCCGAACCTGCAGGTGGTGGGGTAGAGACGCACAGAGACACACAGAGATCGAAAGAGGTGATGAGCCAAGCCCCACCCGCACGCACACACAGCTCCACTTTTGAGCATTCTCAAGCACGACCGCATCATAGACTGCATTCTGAGGCGCCTTAAAATACACCTCAAGCACGACCGCATCATAGACTGCACAGGCACGGCACGTACCACACAGCGTTCTGCAGGCGCTGGTGGAGTTTCCCTCTAAAGGCCTCGTTTGACTGCTGCTCCAGGAACGAGGTGATGATTCCCTTCCCGCCAACACACAGTGCGAGTGTGACCCGTGATCTCTCAAAACGGAAACTAATCGTTACAGGTGCACGTACCACGCGGCGTTCTGCAGGCGCTGGTGCAGTTTCTCTCGGAAGGCCTCATTAGACTGCTCGTCCAGGAACGAGGTGATGAGCCCTGCTAGCACGCACAGCACCTCGATTGCGACTTGAATCTATACAGCGTTGAAGCGTACCATGCGGCGTTCTGCAGGCGCTGATGCAGTTGCTCTCGGAAGGCCTCATTAGACTGCTCGTCCAGGAACGAGGTGATGAGCCCTGCTAGCACGCACAGCACCTCGATTGCGACTTGAATCTATACAGCGTTGAAGCGTACCATGCGGCGTTCTGCAGGCGCTGATGCAGTTGCTCTCGGAAGGCCTCATTAGACTGCTCGTCCAGGAACGAGGTGATGAGCCCTGCTAGCACGCACAGCACCTCGATGGCGACTTGAATCTATACAGCGTTGAAGCGTACCATGCGGCGTTCTGCAGGCGCTGATGCAGTTGCTCTCGGAAGGCCTCATTAGACTGCTCGTCCAGGAACGAGGTGATGAGCCCTGCTAGCACGCACAGCACCTCGATGGCGACTTGAATCTATACAGCCTTGAAGCGTACCATGTGGCGTTCTGCAGGCGCTGATGCAGTTTCTCTCGGAAGGCCTCATTAGACTGCTCGTCCAGGAACGAGGTGATGAGCCCTGCTAGCATGCACAGCGCCATTGTCACTCCCCACATGCTCGCTGTGAACGGCTGGAACGCCAGCCAGGGACTTGAATTCTCCTTTGCGTACCCCATTATCCCCAGACCTGATGGCTGGGGATTGGGTCGGAAGGAGGAGGGTGATCCACACGAAGAAGCTGTGGTACAAACCCTAAACTTTAAAAACCTTTGCGAAGAAAAGTCTTACTCACGAGTGTGAAAAGGAGAGTGATTAAATGGGAGAAGGGAAGGAAAGACGGCTTACAAAGATGGGGTATGTGAAGAACACTGCACTGTTGCGTGTCTCTGTGACTGTGACGTCTCCAATGGCCCCGTCGTATTTCTGCAAGAGAAAGACAATGCGGAGGGTAGCATTCAAGCGGGAAAGAAAAAATCAGAAGAAGAATAAAAGATTAATGAAAACACGGAACGTGGGCAGCAAGTTGGCTGCCTGCCCCTGTCCCATACTGCTCGTCGAGGGTAGGTTTTTGAGGCGCCTAAAAAACTGAGACGATTTTTTAGGCGCCGCAAAAACCGTCTCAACTTGGCTGCCTGCCCCTGTCCTATACTGCTCATCGAGGTTAGGGGCCTGCACATGCTACAGCAGCGCTACGCATTGTGCTTGTCTGATTCATCTGGCTACAGCCAGCATCCACCTTGTCCGCCACAGCCAGCACCATGTCGGTGTAGCTGGGGGAGACGTTATCCCTGCCGTACTGCACAAACTCGTACTCGAGCGGGTATGGCAGCATGGCCACAGCTGCTGCTACAGCCAGCACTAGCCTGCACCCACCTTATCTGCTACAGCCAGCACCATCTGGTTGTAGCTGGGGGAGACGTTCTCCTCGCCATACTGCACAAACTCATAGTCGAGCGGGTATGGCAGCATGGCTACAGCTGCTCGGAAGACATCGATGCAGAACCCTGAGAAGCGCTCTTTGCCCTCTCCCTTGGAGATGTTGACAAACTGCTTGTAGACCTGAGGGGGTGGGGCAGGGAGTGCGAGGAAGGTTGGAGGGGTGCGGGGAAGGGGGGGTAGGAAGGGAGATTGGATAGGGAACGGTACGGCTGGCCGCATGGCATGGCCACAGCTGCGTGGAAAACATCGATGCAGAACCCTGAGAAGCGGCTGTTGCCCTCTCCCTTGGAGATGTTGACAAGCTGCTTGTAGACCTGAGGAGGAGAGGAAGGGCGGGAAGGGGGAGGGAAATGGAGAGGGGTACGGCAGCACGGCCACAGCTGCTCGGAATAGGTCGATGCAGAACCCAAAGAAGTGCTCGTTGGCAATGGGACTGCACGAGCACAGCTGCTAATGGGACTGCACAAGCACAGCTGCTAATGGGACTGCACGAGCACAGCTGCTAATGGGACTGCACGAGCACAGCTGCTAATGGGACTGCACGAGCACAGCTGCTAATGGGACTGCACGAGCACAGCTGCTAATGGGACTGCACGAGCACAGCTGCTAATGGGACTGCACGAGCACAGCTGCTAATGGGACTGCACGAGCACAGCTGCTAATGGGACTGCACGAGCACAGCTGCTAATGGGACTGCACGAGCACAGCTGCTAATGGGACTGCACGAGCACAGCTGCTAATGGGACTGCACGAGCACAGCTGCTAATGGGACTGCACGAGCACAGCTGCTAATGGGACTGCACGAGCACAGCTGCTAATGGGACTGCACGAGCACAGCTGCTAATGGGACTGCACGAGCACAGCTGCTAATGGGACTGCACGAGCACAGCTGCTAATGGGACTGCACGAGCACAGCTGCTAATGGGACTGCACGAAGCACAGCTGCTAATGGGACTGCACGAGCACAGCTGCTAATGGGACTGCACGAGCACAGCTGCTAATGGGACTGCACGAGCACAGCTGCTAATGGGACTGCACGAGCACAGCTGCTAATGGGACTGCACGAGCACAGCTGCTAATGGGACTGCACGAGCACAGCTGCTAATGGGACTGCACGAGCACAGCTGCTAATGGGACTGCACGAGCACAGCTGCTAATGGGACTGCACGAGCACAGCTGCTAATGGGACTGCACGAGCACAGCTGCTAATGGGACTGCACGAGCACAGCTGCTAATGGGACTGCACGAGCACAGCTGCTAATGGGACTGCACGAGCACAGCTGCTAATGGGACTGCACGAGCACAGCTGCTAATGGGACTGCACGAGCACAGCTGCTAATGGGACTGCACGAGCACAGCTGCTAATGGGACTGCACGAGCACAGCTGCTAATGGGACTGCACGAGCACAGCTGCTAATGGGACTGCACGAGCACAGCTGCTAATGGGACTGCACGAGCACAGCTGCTAATGGGACTGCACAAGCACAGCTGCTAATGGGACTGCACGAGCACAGCTGCTAATGGGACTGCACGAGCACAGCTGCTAATGGGACTGCACGAGCACAGCTGCTAATGGGACTGCACGAGCACAGCTGCTAATGGGACTGCACGAGCACAGCTGCTAATGGGACTGCACGAGCACAGCTGCTAATGGGACTGCACGAGCACAGCTGCTAATGGGACTGCACGAGCACAGCTGCTAATGGGACTGCACGAGCACAGCTGCTAATGGGACTGCACGAGCACAGCTGCTAATGGGACTGCACAAGCACAGCTGCTAATGGGACTGCACGAGCACAGCTGCTAATGGGACTGCACGAGCACAGCTGCTAATGGGACTGCACGAGCACAGCTGCTATTGGGACTGCACGAGCACAGCTGCTAATGGGACTGCACAAGCACAGCTGCTAATGGGACTGCACGAGCACAGCTGCTAATGGGACTGCACGAGCACAGCTGCTAATGGGACTGCACGAGCACAGCTGCTAATGGGACTGCACGAGCACAGCTGCTAATGGGACTGCACGAGCACAGCTGCTAATGGGACTGCACAAGCACAGCTCCTAATGGGACTGCACGAGCACAGCTGCTAATGGGACTGCACGAGCACAGCTGCTAATGGGACTGCACGAGCACAGCTGCTAATGGGACTGCACGAGCACAGCTGCTAATGGGACTGCACGAGCACAGCTGCTAATGGGACTGCACGAGCACAGCTGCTAATGGGACTGCACGAGCACAGCTGCTAATGGGACTGCACGAGCACAGCTGCTAATGGGACTGCACGAGCACAGCTGCTAATGGGACTGCACGAGCACAGCTGCTAATGGGACTGCACGAGCACAGCTGCTAATGGGACTGCACGAGCACAGCTGCTAATGGGACTGCACAAGCACAGCTGCTAATGGGACTGCACGAGCACAGCTGCTAATGGGACTGCACGAGCACAGCTGCTAATGGGACTGCACGAGCACAGCTGCTAATGGGACTGCACGAGCACAGCTGCTAATGGGACTGCACAAGCACAGCTGCTAATGGGACTGCACGAGCACAGCTGCTAATGGGACTGCACGAGCACAGCTGCTAATGGGACTGCACGAGCACAGCTGCTAATGGGACTGCACGAGCACAGCTGCTAATGGGACTGCACGAGCACAGCTGCTAATGGGACTGCACAAGCACAGCTCCTAATGGGACTGCACGAGCACAGCTGCTAATGGGACTGCACGAGCACAGCTGCTAATGGGACTGCACGAGCACAGCTGCTAATGGGACTGCACGAGCACAGCTGCTAATGGGACTGCACGAGCACAGCTGCTAATGGGACTGCACGAGCACAGCTGCTAATGGGACTGCACAAGCACAGCTGCTAATGGGACTGCACGAGCACAGCTGCTAATGGGACTGCACGAGCACAGCTGCTAATGGGACTGCACGAGCACAGCTGCTAATGGGACTGCACGAGCACAGCTGCTAATGGGACTGCACGAGCACAGCTGCTAATGGGACTGCACGAGCACAGCTGCTAATGGGACTGCACGAGCACAGCTGCTAATGGGACTGCACGAGCACAGCTGCTAATGGGACTGCACGAGCACAGCTGCTAATGGGACTGCACGAGCACAGCTGCTAATGGGACTGCACGAGCACAGCTGCTAATGGGACTGCACGAGCACAGCTGCTAATGGGACTGCACGAGCACAGCTGCTAATGGGACTGCACGAGCACAGCTGCTAATGGGACTGCACGAGCACAGCTGCTAATGGGACTGCACGAGCACAGCTGCTAATGGGACTGCACGAGCACAGCTGCTAATGGGACTGCACGAGCACAGCTGCTAATGGGACTGCACAAGCACAGCTGCTAATGGGACTGCACGAGCACAGCTGCTAATGGGACTGCACGAGCACAGCTGCTAATGGGACTGCACGAGCACAGCTGCTAATGGGACTGCACGAGCACAGCTGCTAATGGGACTGCACAAGCACAGCTGCTAATGGGACTGCACGAGCACAGCTGCTAATGGGACTGCACGAGCACAGCTGCTAATGGGACTGCACGAGCACAGCTGCTAATGGGACTGCACGAGCACAGCTGCTAATGGGACTGCACGAGCACAGCTGCTAATGGGACTGCACAAGCACAGCTGCTAATGGGACTGCACGAGCACAGCTGCTAATGGGACTGCACGAGCACAGCTGCTAATGGGACTGCACAAGCACAGCTGCTAATGGGACTGCACGAGCACAGCTGCTAATGGGACTGCACGAGCACAGCTGCTAATGGGACTGCACGAGCACAGCTGCTAATGGGACTGCACGAGCACAGCTGCTAATGGGACTGCACGAGCACAGCTGCTAATGGGACTGCACGAGCACAGCTGCTAATGGGACTGCACGAGCACAGCTGCTAATGGGACTGCACGAGCACAGCTGCTAATGGGACTGCACAAGCACAGCTGCTAATGGGACTGCACGAGCACAGCTGCTAATGGGACTGCACGAGCACAGCTGCTAATGGGACTGCACGAGCACAGCTGCTAATGGGACTGCACGAGCACAGCTGCTAATGGGACTGCACGAGCACAGCTGCTAATGGGACTGCACAAGCACAGCTGCTAATGGGACTGCACGAGCACAGCTGCTAATGGGACTGCACGAGCACAGCTGCTAATGGGACTGCACAAGCACAGCTGCTAATGGGACTGCACGAGCACAGCTGCTAATGGGACTGCACGAGCACAGCTGCTAATGGGACTGCACGAGCACAGCTGCTAATGGGACTGCACGAGCACAGCTGCTAATGGGACTGCACGAGCACAGCTGCTAATGGGACTGCACGAGCACAGCTGCTAATGGGACTGCACGAGCACAGCTGCTAATGGGACTGCACGAGCACAGCTGCTAATGGGACTGCACAAGCACAGCTGCTAATGGGACTGCACGAGCACAGCTGCTAATGGGACTGCACGAGCACAGCTGCTAATGGGACTGCACGAGCACAGCTGCTAATGGGACTGCACGAGCACAGCTGCTAATGGGACTGCACAAGCACAGCTGCTAATGGGACTGCACGAGCACAGCTGCTCATGGGACTGCACGAGCACAGCTGCTAATGGGACTGCACGAGCACAGCTGCTAATGGGACTGCACGAGCACAGCTGCTAATGGGACTGCACGAGCACAGCTGCTAATGGGACTGCACGAGCACAGCTGCTAATGGGACTGCACGAGCACAGCTGCTAATGGGACTGCACGAGCACAGCTGCTAATGGGACTGCACGAGCACAGCTGCTAATGGGACTGCACGAGCACAGCTGCTAATGGGACTGCACGAGCACAGCTGCTAATGGGACTGCACGAGCACAGCTGCTAATGGGACTGCACGAGCACAGCTGCTAATGGGACTGCACGAGCACAGCTGCTAATGGGACTGCACGAGCACAGCTGCTAATGGGACTGCACGAGCACAGCTGCTAATGGGACTGCACGAGCACAGCTGCTAATGGGACTGCACGAGCACAGCTGCTAATGGGACTGCACGAGCACAGCTGCTAATGGGACTGCACGAGCACAGCTGCTAATGGGACTGCACGAGCACAGCTGCTAATGGGACTGCACGAGCACAGCTGCTAATGGGACTGCACAAGCACAGCTGCTAATGGGACTGCACGAGCACAGCTGCTAATGGGACTGCACGAGCACAGCTGCTAATGGGACTGCACAAGCACAGCTGCTAATGGGACTGCACGAGCACAGCTGCTCATGGGACTGCACGAGCACAGCTGCTAATGGGACTGCACGAGCACAGCTGCTAATGGGACTGCACGAGCACAGCTGCTAATGGGACTGCACAAGCACAGCTGCTAATGGGACTGCACGAGCACAGCTGCTAATGGGACTGCACGAGCACAGCTGCTAATGGGACTGCACGAGCACAGCTGCTAATGGGACTGCACGAGCACAGCTGCTAATGGGACTGCACGAGCACAGCTGCTAATGGGACTGCACGAGCACAGCTGCTAATGGGACTGCACGAGCACAGCTGCTAATGGGACTGCACGAGCACAGCTGCTAATGGGACTGCACGAGCACAGCTGCTAATGGGACTGCACGAGCACAGCTGCTAATGGGACTGCACGAGCACAGCTGCTAATGGGACTGCACAAGCACAGCTGCTAATGGGACTGCACAAGCACAGCTGCTAATGGGACTGCACGAGCACAGCTGCTAATGGGACTGCACGAGCACAGCTGCTAATGGGACTGCACGAGCACAGCTGCTAATGGGACTGCACGAGCACAGCTGCTAATGGGACTGCACGAGCACAGCTGCTAATGGGACTGCACGAGCACAGCTGCTAATGGGACTGCACGAGCACAGCTGCTAATGGGACTGCACGAGCACAGCTGCTAATGGGACTGCACGAGCACAGCTGCTAATGGGACTGCACGAGCACAGCTGCTAATGGGACTGCACGAGCACAGCTGCTAATGGGACTGCACGAGCACAGCTGCTAATGGGACTGCACGAGCACAGCTGCTAATGGGACTGCACGAGCACAGCTGCTAATGGGACTGCACGAGCACAGCTGCTAATGGGACTGCACGAGCACAGCTGCTAATGGGACTGCACAAGCACAGCTGCTAATGGGACTGCACAAGCACAGCTGCTAATGGGACTGCACGAGCACAGCTGCTAATGGGACTGCACGAGCACAGCTGCTAATGGGACTGCACGAGCACAGCTGCTAATGGGACTGCACGAGCACAGCTGCTAATGGGACTGCACGAGCACAGCTGCTAATGGGACTGCACGAGCACAGCTGCTAATGGGACTGCACGAGCACAGCTGCTAATGGGACTGCACAAGCACAGCTGCTAATGGGACTGCACGAGCACAGCTGCTAATGGGACTGCACGAGCACAGCTGCTAATGGGACTGCACGAGCACAGCTGCTAATGGGACTGCACGAGCACAGCTGCTAATGGGACTGCACGAGCACAGCTGCTAATGGGACTGCACGAGCACAGCTGCTAATGGGACTGCACAAGCACAGCTGCTAATGGGACTGCACGAGCACAGCTGCTAATGGGACTGCACGAGCACAGCTGCTAATGGGACTGCACGAGCACAGCTGCTAATGGGACTGCACGAGCACAGCTGCTAATGGGACTGCACGAGCACAGCTGCTAATGGGACTGCACGAGCACAGCTGCTAATGGGACTGCACAAGCACAGCTGCTAATGGGACTGCACGAGCACAGCTGCTAATGGGACTGCACGAGCACAGCTGCTAATGGGACTGCACGAGCACAGCTGCTAATGGGACTGCACGAGCACAGCTGCTAATGGGACTGCACGAGCACAGCTGCTAATGGGACTGCACAAGCACAGCTGCTAATGGGACTGCACGAGCACAGCTGCTAATGGGACTGCACGAGCACAGCTGCTAATGGGACTGCACGAGCACAGCTGCTAATGGGACTGCACGAGCACAGCTGCTAATGGGACTGCACGAGCACAGCTGCTAATGGGACTGCACGAGCACAGCTGCTAATGGGACTGCACAAGCACAGCTGCTAATGGGACTGCACGAGCACAGCTGCTAATGGGACTGCACGAGCACAGCTGCTAATGGGACTGCACGAGCACAGCTGCTAATGGGACTGCACAAGCACAGCTGCTAATGGGACTGCACGAGCACAGCTGCTAATGGGACTGCACGAGCACAGCTGCTAATGGGACTGCACGAGCACAGCTGCTAATGGGACTGCACGAGCACAGCTGCTAATGGGACTGCACAAGCACAGCTGCTAATGGGACTGCACGAGCACAGCTGCTAATGGGACTGCACGAGCACAGCTGCTAATGGGACTGCACGAGCACAGCTGCTAATGGGACTGCACGAGCACAGCTGCTAATGGGACTGCACGAGCACAGCTGCTAATGGGACTGCACGAGCACAGCTGCTAATGGGACTGCACGAGCACAGCTGCTAATGGGACTGCACAAGCACAGCTGCTAATGGGACTGCACAAGCACAGCTGCTAATGGGACTGCACGAGCACAGCTGCTAATGGGACTGCACGAGCACAGCTGCTAATGGGACTGCACGAGCACAGCTGCTAATGGGACTGCACGAGCACAGCTGCTAATGGGACTGCACGAGCACAGCTGCTAATGGGACTGCACTAGCACAGCTGCTAATGGGACTGCACGAGCACAGCTGCTAATGGGACTGCACGAGCACAGCTGCTAATGGGACTGCACGAGCACAGCTGCTAATGGGACTGCACGAGCACAGCTGCTAATGGGACTGCACGAGCACAGCTGCTAATGGGACTGCACGAGCACAGCTGCTAATGGGACTGCACGAGCACAGCTGCTAATGGGACTGCACGAGCACAGCTGCTAATGGGACTGCACGAGCACAGCTGCTAATGGGACTGCACGAGCACAGCTGCTAATGGGACTGCACGAGCACAGCTGCTAATGGGACTGCACAAGCACAGCTGCTAATGGGACTGCACAAGCACAGCTGCTAATGGGACTGCACAAGCACAGCTGCTAATGGGACTGCACAAGCACAGCTGCTAATGGGACTGCACAAGCACAGCTGCTAATGGGACTGCACAAGCACAGCTGCTAATGGGACTGCACAAGCACAGCTGCTAATGGGACTGCACAAGCACAGCTGCTAATGGGACTGCACAAGCACAGCTGCTAATGGGACTGCACAAGCACAGCTGCTAATGGGACTGCACAAGCACAGCTGCTAATGGGACTGCACAAGCACAGCTGCTAATTGGACTGCACAAGCACAGCTGCTAATGGGACTGCACAAGCACAGCTGCTAATGGGACTGCACAAGCACAGCTGCTAATGGGACTGCACAAGCACAGCTGCTAATGGGACTGCACAAGCACAGCTGCTAATGGGACTGCACAAGCACAGCTGCTAATGGGACTGCACAAGCACAGCTGCTAATGGGACTGCACAAGCACAGCTGCTAATGGGACTGCACAAGCACAGCTGCTAATGGGACTGCACAAGCACAGCTGCTAATGGGACTGCACAAGCACAGCTGCTAATGGGACTGCACAAGCACAGCTGCTAATGGGACTGCACAAGCACAGCTGCTAATGGGACTGCACAAGCACAGCTGCTAATGGGACTGCACAAGCACAGCTGCTCCTTTGGAGACGTTCACAAACTGCGTGTAGACCTGAGGAGAGGGGGGATGGGGGGGAGGCAGGAGGTGAGGAGGGGTGGAGGTGCAAATGGGTTCAGGCAAAGGGGATAACCGGAAGAGGTCGATGAGAACATAGAGAAGGGGTGTTGCCAACGCCTTCGGAGACGTTGACAAACTGCTTGTAGACCTGGGGAGAAGGAGTGTGGTGTGGGCTCTCATGTATGGCAATGGCGCATGCATATATCCAAATATGCACATATACGCCATACACACACACTCACACACACACACACACCCGCGCTCGCACGCGTGCGCATACACGCACACAGAGAATACGCACCACTTTATTTGGAACAGCTAATCGAAGTTTTGTCTTGGGAAATGCGCCTATGGGTACCTGTAAGCATGGTCATTAGGGGGGAGACACGGCAAGAGAAGGAGGGGGCGGATGGCACATAAAGTAAGGAATAAAGCGATGGAGACAAAAAGCATGTCTTCTGATTGAGCTTGTATCGACTGTGAATGAGCATGTATCAATCACGTCTAAACGGACATGCATGATTACATTTTATAGTACATGCATTTGACTCAGACTCACTTGTGTCACCCCACCCGGAAACACTATGTTCAGTGCCTCTTGCTGGTTCTTGGATGGCCGCTGAAATGGGGAAGGGAAGGAGAGCAGGAGAGCAGGAGGGCAGAGGAGGAGAGGCAAGGAGCAGGGATGGTTGAGACTCAAATAGCAGAAGAAGGAATGGCTGATTTGGACACGGCATGACTGAGCACACCACGTCATACCACATCACGCCACACCTCATCGCACCACATCACACCACATTGCACCTTTAGAGAGCGCGTGAGTTGCCAGGCAGGCGTCCAGAAGCCAACCCTCATGGCTGTAGCATTCACCACGTTGAGCACCTCCGTGGCATCGGCTTGCAGGTCACCATGTGGGGTGAGGGAGACCCTAGGGGAGGTAGGGTAAGAAAAAGGGGAGAGGGGAACTGAGGGGGTGGGATTTAAGCAAAGCTTGCTTTCCAGCCTCAAAAATTTGTTATGAGACATCTCAGAAATCGAGTTGGGTTGGGTCAGGTGGTTCCGTTGCTCATGCCTACTCGAACGTCCCTGTTGCTCATGCCTACTCGTACGTCCCTGTTGCTCATGCCTACTCGAACGTCCCTGTTGCTCATGCCTACTCGTACGTCCCTGTTGCTCATGCCTACTCGTACGTCCCTGTTGCTCATGCCTACTCGTACGTCCCTGTTGCTCATGCCTACTCGTACGTCCCTGTTGCTCATGCCTACTCGTACGTCCCTGTTGCTCATGCCTACTCGAACGTCCCTGTTGCTCATGCCTACTCGTACGTCCCTGTTGCTCATGCCTACTCGTACGTCCCTGTTGCTCATGCCTACTCGTACGTCCCTGTTGCTCATGCCTACTCGAACGTCCCTGTTGCTCATGCCTACTCGTACGTCCCTGTTGCTCATGCCTACTCGTACGTCCCTGTTGCTCATGCCTACTCGTACGTCCCTGTTGCTCATGCCTACTCGTACGTCCCTGGTAAGGCCTTCAGCGTCTTACCTTCCTGTGAGGCCTTCGAAGGTTGTGTTGAGGATGGCTTGACGGAGTGCCGGGCCCACTGCATGGGGGAGGGAAGGAAGAATGTCGAGCGGGACCACGCGACGGAGGACAGAAAAGAAGGTAAACAACAAAGAAACAAGAGAAAGAAAGAGATTGAGGCGTCTTAGGGAGGATAAGTGGGAAGGACGAGGTAGAGAGTGAAAGATCTAAGAGAAGAGGGAGGGAAGGACAGAGGGTGCAGGGGAGGGAGGGAGATAATAGAGAAGGGAACAATAGATGGAATACAATCAGACGCACAATGTACTGCCAACCCATCTAAGTTGCATCGCCTGTGTGGTGCCTCACAAGTAAGCACCCACCTGAGTTTCGCTGCAGGTTCTGCAGCAGCGGAATGAGCCCACCACCCGCCTCCGCCTCTTGCCCTGCCACCGGCAGTATCAAGGCACTGTTACTTGCAACAGCAGACATCGCAAAAAAGTGTGCTCCCGTGCTGCTGCTGCTGCCATTGCTGCTGGTGCTGCTGGTGCTGCCGCTGCTGCTGCCGCTGCTGCTGCCGCTGCTGCTGCTACTGCTGGCGGTGCTGGCGCTGGTGCGTTGCAGCAGGGAGTGCAGGGCGAGAGAGACGAGGTAAACAGCGTCATAGGCTGCGAGGCTGTAGGTCTTTGGGTCCTCTTCAGCCGCCCCTGGGAACTGCAGTGGACTCAGCTGCTTCCACCGCTGCTTGAAGGCTGACAGGCGTTGGGATGACGGGTGATAGGACGCTGTGATTATCAGACCCTGGGAGAGGGGATTGGAGGTTTTGGAAAGCGAGGAGAGGAAACGAGAGGAAAAGAGAGGAGAGGAGAGGAGAGGAGAGGAGCGGAGAGGAGGGGGGGACAGATAGGAGGGCTGTGACTGTGAGATTCTGGTAGTTGAGGAGACTGGAACCCAGTCGTGTAGGCTGCAAGGCTGTAGGCCTTGGGGTCCTCCTCTGCCGCCCCTGGGGGCTGCTGCGCGCTCAGCTGCTTGGAGGCCAACAAGCGTTGGGATGGCGGGTGGTAGTAGGAGGCTGTGATTATCAGACCCTGAGGGGGTGGGAAGAGGGGAGAGATGAGAGGGAAGGAGAGGAGGTGATGAGAGGGTGGGAGAGGGTTGCTCCTGGGAGAACTGCTGCGCGCTGAGTCGTGTTTTGAGTCGACTCAAAACAGGAGAGGAGGCGATGAGAGGTGGGAGAGGGTTGCTCCTGGGAGAACTGCTGCGCGCTGAGTCGTGTTTTGAGTCGACTCAAAACAGGAGAGGGGGCGATGAGAGGGTGGGAGAGGGTTTCTCCTGGGAGAACTGCTGCGCGCTGAGCTGCTTCCACCGTTGATTGGAATGGAAGCTGACAGGTGCCTCGATGGCGGGTGATAGGACGCTGTGATTATCAGACTCTGGGGAGGGAGGAGGAGGGGAGGGAGTGGATGAGAGAAGAGGAGATGCGCCACAACGAGGGATGGTAGGACACCGTTGATCATGAGATGGCCCCTGGGGAAGGACGGTTGGGAGGGAGGAAGGGGGGTGTGTGAGGAAAGGCGAGGAGAGGAGAGGAGAGAAGAGGAGAGGAGAGGCGAGGCGAGGCGAGGAGAGGAGAGGAGGGGAGAGAAGAGCAGAGGGGCAATGGGAAATCGAGTTTTAAGACATGTCTCAAAAGCCATGAGTGTACTCTGCACTCTCATGCACCCTCTTACCTATCCCTTGGCCCTCTCACCCACCTCTGCACTCTGCAGTGTGGAAGTGTTGGCTTGAGCAGCCCCCTCCGATGCGATCCACACATAGTTCTTCCCTATCATGCCCAGCTTGCTCGCTGCGATAAAGGGAAGGGTGAAAAAGACAAAGGTATGCACGTGGAATCTGAATTCACTCCCATTAGCTTCCACACGTAGTTCGTCCCTATCATGCCCAGCTTGCTTGCTGCAATCAGAAGGAACGATGGTGGAGAAGTAAAGCAAATGCATGTCTGTCTTTTCCAGTCAAGCCATCATACATGATGTTCCAGGACCCCTCAGCCCCCTCCTTTTTATGCGATCCACACGTAGTTCGTCCCGATCATGCCCTGCATGCTCGCTGTGATAGAGGGAACGATGGGGGTGAAGCAGCCACAAATAAAAAATCTGTTATCTTGACTAAATGCTACAAGAGGAAGGGAACTCAGATTTGTTGTTCTGTTACTGGCCCTTCCAAAATGTTATCCACAAAATGTTTCACACATATCGAGTGTACCTGTATCGAGTATGAGAGCAGACATGGTGGAGGACGCGTGCAGCACGTAGACAGAAGAGTCCACTGCCCTGCTGGCAGCCAGGGCTTGTGCCACGTCATCAGCTGTCCACGTGGACTTGACAGGCACCCTCTGGGCAATGTGCACATACGACGCCTTTCAAGTGTATGGGTAGGGGTGGGGATATGGATAGGTTGAGGGGGAGAGGGTGGTTGGAGGGTGAATGGGTAGGGGGGGGGGAGAAACTGCGATCAAGCGAGTGTGCAAGCGAATGGGTGCGAGTGTGAGTGTAAATGAGAAACTGCGATCAAGCGAGTGTGAATGATTGTGAGTGGATGGTGATCAAGCGAACGTGCAAGCGAGTGTTCAAGTGCGTGTGCTGGTGAGTGAGTGTGCACCTTCTGTGCGAGCAGGTAAGTCATGAGCGCCGTGATGCCGTTGCGACCAAAGCAGTGCCATTTTGAGTCGACAGTGCAAGTGAGTACGCAAGTGTGTGTGAGTGTGCACCTTTTTTTCGAGCAGGTAAGTCATGAGCGCCGTGATGCCGTTGCGACCAAAGCAGTGCCATTTTGAGTCGACAGTGCAAGTGAGTACGCAAGTGTGTGTGAGTGTGCACCTTTTTTTCGAGCAGGTAAGTCATGAGCGCCGTGATGCCGTTGCGGCCAAAGCGGTTATCCGTGTAAACAGCCACGAACTGCCTCCACTTGTAGCGCAGAAGCAGCGCTGGAGGACCGAGACACGGACAGAGGGGAGAGAGGGGAGAGAGGGATACACACACACACATAGAGACATCTCGAACGTGTACACTACCATGCAGACTACCTCCACTTGTAGCGCTGCAGCAACGCTGCCGCAGTGGGATGTGGAGAGTGAGAGAGACGTGTTGAGAGAGAAAACAGCACAGAGGGGAGGACCTTTGAGAATTCTCAAAAGTGAGAGAGACGTGTTGAGAGAAAGCGGTACAGAGAGGAGGACCTTTGAAAGTAGACGCAACCATATACAGTGGAGGGTGACTCAAAGAAGAAGCAACCATAGGTTCCTGCTGTGGTGGGTGGCTTTTGCTGCAACTGCAGGTTACCTTAGCTGCACATGGTTTCCTACCGGCTATGGCTTGCATGTCCACGCCATCGTTGGGACTGGTCGCATGAAGAACGGCTGAGCAAGCATCCCCCACTGTACCTAATTGCACACCACTGTACCTAATTGCACACCACTGTACCTAATTGCACACCACTGTACCTAATTGCACACCACTGTACCTAATTGCACACCACTGTACCTAATTGCACACCACTGTACCTAATTGCACACCACTGTACCTAATTGCACACCACTTACCTAATTGCACACCACTGTACCTAATTGCACACCACTGTACCTAATTGCACACCACTGTACCTAATTGCACACCACTGTACCTAATTGCACACCACTGTACCTAATTGCACACCACTGTACCTAATTGCACACCACTGTACCTAATTGCACACCACTGTACCTAATTGCACACCACTGTACCTAATTGCACACCACTGTACCTAATTGCACACCACTGTACCTAATTGCACACCACTGTACCTAATTGCACACCACTGTACCTAATTGCACACCACTGTACCTAATTGCACACCACTGTACCTAATTGCACACCACTGTACCTAATTGCACACCACTGTACCTAATTGCACACCACTGTACCTAATTGCACACCACTGTACCTAATTGCACACCACTGTACCTAATTGCACACCACTGTACCTAATTGCACACCACTGTACCTAATTGCACACCACTGTACCTAATTGCACACCACTGTACCTAATTGCGCACCACTGTACCTAATTGCGCACCACTGTACCTAATTGCGCACCACTGTACCTAATTGCACACCACTGTACCTAATTGCACACCACTGTACCTAATTGCACACCACTGTACCTAATTGCACACCACTGTACCTAATTGCACACCACTGTACCTAATTGCACACCACTGTACCTAATTGCACACCACTGTACCTAATTGCACACCACTGTACCTAATTGCACACCACTGTACCTAATTGCACACCACTGTACCTAATTGCACACCACTGTACCTAATTGCCCACCACTGTACCTAATTGCGCACCACTGTACCTAATTGCACACCACTGTACCTAATTGCACACCACTGTACCTAATTGCACACCACTGTACCTAATTGCACACCACTGTACCTAATTGCACACCACTGTACCTAATTGCACACCACTGTACCTAATTGCACACCACTGTACCTAATTGCACACCACTGTACCTAATTGCACACCACTGTACCTAATTGCACACCACTGTACCTAATTGCACACCACTGTACCTAATTGCACACCACTGTACCTAATTGCACACCACTGTACCTAATTGCGCACCACTGTACCTAATTGCCACCACTGTACCTAATTTGCACACCACTGTACCTAATTGCACACCACTGTACCTAATTGCACACCACTGTACCTAATTGCACACCACTGTACCTAATTGCACACCACTGTACCTAATTGCACACCACTGTACCTAATTGCCACCACTGTACCTAATTGCACACCACTGTACCTAATTGCACACCACTGTACCTAATTTGCACACCACTGTACCTAATTGCACACCACTGTACCTAATTGGCACACCACTGTACTAATTGCACACCACTGTACCTAATTGCCACCACTGTACCTAATTGCACACCACTGTACCTAATTGCACACCACTGTACCTAATTGCACACCACTGTACCTAATTGCACACCACTGTACCTAATTGCACACCACTGTACCTAATTGCACACCACTGTACCTAATTGCACACCACTGTACCTAATTGCACACCACTGTACCTAATTGCACACCACTGTACCTAATTGCGACACCCAATGTAACTAATTGCCACACCACTGTACCTAATTGCACACCACTGTACCTAATTGCACACCACTGTACCTAATTGCACCCTGTACCTAATTGCACACCACTGTACCTAATTGCACACCACTGTACCTAATTGCACACCACTGTACCTAATTGCACACCACTGTACCTAATTGCACACCACTGTACCTAATTGCACACCACTGTACCTAATTGCACACCACTGTACCTAATTGCACACCACTGTACCTAATTGCACACCACTGTACCTAATTGCACACCACTGTACCTAATTGCACACCACTGTACCTAATTGCACACCACTGTACCTAATTGCACACCACTGTACCTAATTGCACACCACTGTACCTAATTGCACACCACTGTACTATTGCACACTGTACCTAATTGCACACCACTGTACCTAATTGCACACCACTGTACCTAATTGCACACCACTGTACCTAATTGCACACCACTGTACCTAATTGCACACCACTGTACCTAATTGCACACCACTGTACCTAATTGCACACCACTGTACCTAATTGCACACCACTGTACCTAATTGCACACCACTGTACCTAATTGCACACCACTGTACCTAATTGCACACCACTGTACCTAATTGCACACCACTGTACCTAATTGCACACCACTGTACCTAATTGCACACCACTGTACCTAATTGCACACCACTGTACCTAATTGCACACCACTGTACCTATTGCACACCACTGTACCTAATTGCACACCACTGTACCTAATTGCACACCACTGTACCTAATTGCACACCACTGTACCTAATTGCACACCACTGTACCTAATTGCACACCACTGTACCTAATTGCACACCACTGTACCTAATTGCACACCACTGTACCTAATTGCACACCACTGTACCTAATTGCACACCACTGTACCTAATTGCACACCACTGTACCTAATTGCACACCACTGTACCTAATTGCACACCACTGTACCTAATTGCACACCACTGTACCTAATTGCACACCACTGTACCTAATTGCACACCACTGTACCTAATTGCACACCACTGTACCTAATTGCACACCACTGTACCTAATTGCACACCACTGTACCTAATTGCACACCACTGTACCTAATTGCAGCACCACTGTACCTAATTGCACACACTGTACCTAATTGCACACCACTGTACCTAATTGCACACCACTGTACCTAATTGCACACCACTGTACCTAATTGCACACCACTGTACCTAATTGCACACCACTGTACCTAATTGCACACCACTGTACCTAATTGCCAACGGTACCTAATTGCACACTGTACCTAATTGCACACCACTGTACCTAATTGCACACCACTGTACCTAATTGCACACCACTGTACCTAATTGCCACCACTGTACCTAATTGCACACCACTGTACCTAATTGCACACCACTGTACCTAATTGCACACCACTGTACCTAATTGCACACCACTGTAACCTAATTGCACACCACTGTACCTAATTGCACACCACTGTACCTAATTGCACACCACTGTACCTAATTGCACACCACTGTACCTAATTGCACACCACTGTACCTAATTGCACACCACTGTACCTAATTGCACACCACTGTACCTAATTGCACACCACTGTACCTAATTGCACACCACTGTACCTAATTGCACACCACTGTACCTAATTGCACACCACTGTACCTAATTGCACACCACATGTACCTAATTGCACACCACTGTACCTAATTGCACACCACTGTACCTAATTGCACACCACTGTACCTAATTGCACACCACTGTACCTAATTGCACACCACTGTACCTATTGCACACCACTGTACCTATTGCACACCACTGTACCTTAATTGCACACCACTGTACCTAATTGCGCACCACTGTACCTAATTGCGCACCACTGTACCTAATTGCACACCACTGTACCTATTGCACACCACTGTACCTAATTGCACACCACTGTACCTAATTGCACACCACTGTACTAATTGCACACCACTGTTTCCCTAATTGCACACCACTGTACCCTAATTGCACACCACTGTACTCTAATTGCACACCACTGTACCTAATTGCACACCACTGTACCTAATTGCACACCACTGTACCTAATTGCACACCACTGTACCTAATTGCACACCACTGTACCTAATTGCACACCACTGTACCTAATTGCCACCACTGTACCTAATTGCAGCACCACTGTAACCTAATTGCACACCACTGTACCTAATTGCACACCACTGTACCTAATTGCACACCACTGTACCTAATTGCACACCACTGTACCTAATTGCACACCACTGTACCTAATTGCACACCACTGTACCTAATTGCACACCACTGTACCTAATTGCACACCACTGTACCTAATTGCACACCACTGTACCTAATTGCACACCACTGTACCTAATTGCACACCACTGTACCTAATTGCACACCACTGTACCTAATTGCACACCACTGTACCTAATTGCACACCACTGTACCTAATTGCACACCACTGTACCTAATTGCACACCACTGTACCTAATTGCACACCACTGTACCTAATTGCACACCACTGTACCTAATTGCACACCACTGTACCTAATTGCACACCACTGTACCTAATTGCACACCACTGTACCTAATTGCACACCACTGTACCTAATTGCACACCACTGTACCTAATTGCACACCACTGTACCTAATTGCACACCACTGTACCTAATTGCACACCACTGTACCTAATTGCACACCACTGTACCTAATTGCACACCACTGTACCTAATTGCACACCACTGTACCTAATTGCACACCACTGTACCTAATTGCACACCACTGTACCTAATTGCACACCACTGTACCTAATTGCACACCACTGTACCTAA